AAATTGGTGTAGAATATTCCTTTAACCCATAGTGTAGTCAATAAATGCTGTAGCTTGATCGCAGGAAATTCTGAGTTCCTAATAATTGTTACATTAATTGAGGAGCACAGTTATATTACATTTTTCATGTGTATATATCTCATATATATTCATGTACATAAGAAAGCACATTAATTCGTCCCTATTTTGCAGAATTCATTTTCCATGTGTCATCAAAGATGAGATGTAGCTTGTAGAGAAGTATTTTTGTGTGTGAGTGAGAGAAGCATAGGCAGTCCCTATTTTTTAAGTTACATGTACTGCTGTTTGACTAGTAACCATCTTAGAACCTTGCTGCACTTCCGATACAGGTAGTTTATGTGCATTAGGCACCTGCAAGTACTGATTAAAAAGAAACTGCCTTCATATCCATTTTTTACATTAAGCTATTGTCCCTATACTTTCAAAGGATAGAAGGGACAGCTGAAATAATCAGCTTCTCACCCTTAAGTCTTATTTTATAACCAATATGGCTCAAAAGAAGTCTTTCTAAAGCGTTTCTTTGAGTTTTGGTTCTTGCTGTTGAGACAGGATCTCATTGTGCAGCTTGTGGGATGGCCTTGAACTCACTGTGTAGTCCAGGCTGGCCTCAAACTCATAGTGGTCCTCCTGCCTCAGCCTCTCGATTACAGGCATGTGCCACCACACCCAGATAACATGTTTGTTTGAAAGCACGGTGTGAACATTTCTTTTACATAAAATTTAGGTGAACTGGACAGATTCTCACAGAGACACAAACCTGACCTTAAAAATCAATGCCAAACCCGTTCACCACTCCACCCCTCAAACTGAAAGAAACTGGGGTGACTGGTCCTTGCTCACTGTTCCCTAAATGCAGTATAATTACATCCTATCCTATAATTATCCTTCGTTGAAACACAATGTGTGCATCAGTGCTTATTTGGAGTTGATTGGTTAGGCCTACAGTGAATTTTCCAGTACAGCCTTTCCGGACCTGGTTGGGATTCCAGGTCAGTATGGAGCGTTCTCCAGGACTGGGGTCCGCTGTGCTCAGAGGACTGGTGTGGATGTAGGGTCACTGCCCCGTATCAAGGTGTGATGATGGTGCGGACAGTGGAGGAGAGAAAGGCAGTTGATTCTGCCTCTTCAGAGTGCTGGCTGAATGCAAGGTGGGTTTTACTGCTGGTTTCCAGGCCCCTCTGCATCTCACACTTTTGCTTCACCATTTCTGGGAATTTTGGGGGTTTCTTCTGGTATCTGGAGGGGCCCCGTGCAGCCCCAGTGGGAGAGGCCGGAGCGGTACCCCTTGCGCTTGGCTGGCAGCCAGCAGTGTGCTGGGTTTCAGGGAGAGGCGCTGGGTAGGGATCTGAAGAACTGGAGCTGCGGGGCTGGGGCACCCGGGTTTGGAGGCAGGGACAGTTCCCTCAGCTGCTTAGGTGACTGTCAGAGCTGTCGTGGTTTGGCAAGAAGGGGTTGTTTATAACCTGAGACCACACTAAAAACCAAGCAGCTTCAAGCCTAATGCAAGTATTTGTTCACTTCAAATACTTCCACTAATTGGCTGAGGGACTGTGGACAGGTTGTTTAGTCCTTTCAGGGTTTGTTTTTATGATCTGACTGCCACGAGGAACATGAGACACTTTTTGCACACATGTAGCTTCTATACTGTTACTTAGCCAGAAGGAATCAGCACATTTCCTCAAAAGAGGCAGGTGGATATCACCTTAGCTAGGGTAACTGCAGAAGAATGGTAGCAATCTAATGTGCTGGTAATAACTGCAAAATCTTGACTTACTAAGCTCCTAAGAAACATATTTTAGTCCATGTATTGTTAAATCACAGCACATCATACAAAACAAAACAAACATCTTAAAAGACCTTTCTTCCTCTCTCTCTTTCTTTCTTTCTTTCTTTCTTTCTTTCTTTCTTTCTTTCTTTCTTTCCTTCTTTTTGATATAGGGCCTCCTTAATGTGGCCCAAGATGGCCTTGAAGTCACTATGTAGCCCAGGCTGGCCTCAAAATCTTGGCAATCCTCCTACCTCACCCTCCCGAGTGCTGGGATTACAGGTGTGCATCACTAGGCCTGGCCAAAAGACCTTTCAAAATTGTTTGTTTATGCAGATAAAGGAAAAAATAAGAAAAATAAATGTACAATGTAGTTTGGAACTATGTACAGAGATGTTGCCTTTCTCTATATTAATGCCCAAATATTTCTGAATAGTTTGAATCGATGTCTGTTTATAACAGACCATTTACCAAAACTATTGTTTTTTTCAAACAAACTGGAAACCAGTTGGTGGCATTTGTTATGCCTTTCAGTTTAGGCTTAAGCTCAGAACAATGAAGAAACCCTAAAATAGAAATGGAATTTGGGGTTTTTTTCCCCAAGACCGTAGCCTGTTATTTCCCTTTGAGGGAATGATCATCTGTATGAAATAAAACAGAGTTGAAGTTAATACACATTGCCCATTATGTGAAGATTCCACAGGATGCTTCCGAAGTTGCCTGTGAACAGATACATTCCTGAAAATGGGAAACAACATGATTTTGCTGTCTTACTCTACACATGTGTGTCTTTCTCCAGGAAGCCTGGTTTTGGAAGCTTTGGGTACTTTGGCAACTCCAACACACCCTTATTGGATCTAGAGTACTACATAAGAGAGAAGCAATTTCTATGATTTTATTTTGTGGAAATGAAAGTGCTACAGTGAGAGAAAAACAGTCTTTGAATGAAGAATGGAACTATGAAAGGCATTTTAAAAACAAAAACTATTTCTTATAATGGTGCTGTACATTTTGTTACCAAGCATCTGCAACAAGCACAAAAGCCTTCTGACAAAATGAGAGATTCCTCAAAGCAAAATAAAAATGATACACAGGTGTGTATTGAGAAACAGTTCCTTGAAATTCAGAGCTAAAACAGAGCAGCGGGAGGGAACCATAGAAAACGGTTGCGATGAAGTGAGCCTCAGGCATGCACAGTGTGAGGGAAGGCATCGCATCAGGACCAACTGAAACCTCAAAGTCCTGCCTGCACCTTCCATTACAGACAGACCCACAGTCCTCAGTTCTGAAATCAAGGAAGCTCTGAAAAAATGAAAATTCAAAAATAAAATTGCATAAAGCCATTTGCAACAAAACAGGATCTGAATGGCCTGGGGCAATCTATAGTCTTGATTATTTTATTTAGCATACTCTTTCTGCAGGTACATAAAGATGCTGCTTGGGGGTGTTATGTAGCACGTGGGTATATAACATACTACTTTTCTAAAATATGAAAGTTTCTAGATTCCAAGACACATCTGGCACAGAGTTTCACATAAATGTTTGTAAACCTTTCCTAGATTATGTCAATAGTACTATTTGGCTGCTTAATAAATACAAGCTATGCATCACTAATCTAAAAATGTGAAATCCAAAATGCTCCAAAAGCTGAATTTGAGCAGTGACTTAACACAAGTGGAAAATTCCACACCTGACCACAGATCACAGGTTGTGGTCAAAACACAGGTGCATCAAAATACAGCATAAAAGTATCTTCAGGTATACGGGGTATGAGACATAAATGAATTTAATGATTTGATGCAAGTTCCTTCACAGAAATATTTCATTATGAATATGCAAATATTCCAAAAGTCAAAAACATGTTAAAAATCCCAAATTCTTCTAGTCCCAAGCCTTTCAGATAAGGGATATTCAGCCTGTATTGTGATTCTTTCCTACTTCATTAAATGATGGCCATCCCAGATAGCAGGATACAACCTGGAGAATGTTAGGAAATGATCAGCTTTCAGTCTGGTGAGAGCGCTGCCCAATGAACCACTTGCTGATTCACTTTCCAGATCCTTCTGGAATGTGAATAATTTTTATTGTGATTTGCATCAGTTTACCTTTATTTCCTTTTCAAATAATATTTAAAATAAAATTCTATCATTCAAGTCATAATAAAAGATCAAGTATAATTACCAAGCACATAAAGATTATTACTTTATTGGTGCTACTTTAAATTTATGGCTGGTCATGTACTTGAAAACATGACTAGCAAATGCAATAACTGATCATAAAATGGGTTCTATGCTGGAGGGAGACCGTGCGAAAAGGGCATGACTGAATTGAGAGACAGAGGTAGGAATAGGAGCAGTTCATTTAAGCGTTGTATTCGTCTTCAGTAGGGTAAAGGGCTGTGATGTGTGTAACTTAACTTTAACTGGTTCAGAAAAAGCATGTGTGTGTGCGTGTATGTGTGCACCTGTGTGTGTACAATGTGCTTAAATGATAAAGAAAATGGAGTAAACACCCATAATGTGTAAATCTAGGTTATGCCTTCTCTGTCCTTTATATTGTTCCTTTTTTTTTTTTTTTGCAACTTATCTGTAAGATTGAAATTATCTCCAAATAAAAGGTTTTTAAAAATTAAGTTATAAAGACTATATATTAGGAGAGAATGTTCTTTTTTTTGGTACTGGAGATTGAACTCGGGTCTTTGCGCTTGCCGGGCAGGTGACAGAACCACTGAGCTAAATCCCCAGCCCAGAATGTTCTTAACAGAACAAACAATATAGCATAAGCTCTGTTTCTGTTAGTGCTGATGTTAGCTCACATTTAACAAATCATTAATTATTATCTCCATTTGTGAAATTTGATTAATTTCCATTTAATGCAAAATTCAGACTAGAAATACAGAAATGTTAGTGCTACACTAATATTTTTTCAAGATTGTGTTGACATTAGAATAACTGGCCATAATGCTATTTAAATGCTGTATGTTATCTCCTCTCCAGGGCCATATATTTCTATCCACCCTGGCCTTGATCAATACCAGTTCCCTTTGCTGTTCAGTGAGAGTCCGATTCTAAGTCACCCAGACTCCCTGGCATGGTGTCTTGGTCAGTGTGGGCTGCCATATTTCTCACAGTTCTGGACGCTGGGATGTCCAAGATCAAGGCTCCAGTAGACGCTGACTTCCTGGTTCCCAGAAGGCCGTGCGTCTTCTTGCTTGTTGTGCTGTAAATTGTAAGGGCACACATGCTTCCCAGGCCTCTCTTGTGAGGGCGTTAATCCCATCCAGGAGGACTCGTGACTTGATCCCTTTCTAGAGCCCCCCATACCATCTGGAGTTAGGATTTCGACACGTGAATCTGGTTCAGACACACAGCACATGGTTAATGGGAGGAGCTCGGCAAAACTGGCCTCGACTTAGCTCTTGCATCGGCCACCATTGTGACTTTGGACAAGCCATTTGGCATTTCTGGATGCATTAACTGCCTCTCTGCATTGCAGAACTGCTGACGGACCTACATGAGAGCATTCTGGGAAATTATCACGTGCTATGTAATGTGGTTACTGAAAAATTAGAACTAACAGAAGGCTGAAGTGATTTTGTTTTGCTTGTACTGTTTAAAGGATAATGTATACTCGCCACCATTTTTTTTTTTTTTGGTACCAGTTGTCAAACTCGGGACCTTGTGCGACTCGCCACCATTTAAAACTACTTACACAATTGCTGTGTTCTCATCTCTTGTCTGTGTATCATCATCTCATCATAAGGAAATATCAATTATGTGCGCCTCTTCGTGAAGGAAAGTACCTATAACCACTGGTATAGTGGTGTATATATTAATTATATGACCCTTTTACAGTTAAAGGGGGGAAAGGGCAACTGTGATCTTTATATGCTTACTGGTCACTGCTGCTTTGATAATGAATGATGCAAGCACAAAGCTAAATTTCTCGCTCCCATCCCCTTTCAGCTGCAGTTGGCAGCGTTGCCATTTCTTTTCTCCGTATTCTCTTCATCCCAGGACCCAGGCTGAAGGGCAGCCTGCTCTGAGACGTGCCACACTCCTGGCTGAAGGAAGAGCCAGGGCAGATCCTAGGATACCGCTTTAAGGCTTTTAGTTGGAGCCTGTGTTGCCTCTGCTCACATTTCATTGGCCAGAGCAAGTCACATGGGCAAGGAGGGGGTGGAGCATGACAGCACCCTCCCCTCTACAGGTGGGTCAAATAACTGAACACAATCCACTCTCCTACATTTGTTCCCTTCTTTGTTTAAAAGCACATTATTATCAGTTTTAATGAAAAAAGCAAGACTTTATAGAGGAAAGCACTTGCCAGCTAAAGAGGTTTGAGTTTAAGTGGTTTTTTTTTTTTTGGTACCTGGGATCGAACTCAGGTCCTTGTGCTTGCACAGCAGGCAGCGAAACCACTGAGCTAAATCCCCGGCCCGAGTTTTGAGTTGAATGACTGGCAGGGACCTTAGAGCTTTGTTTCTGAGACTTGGACTCTGAATACCTGGAAGATTACACAACTGCCTACCACCAGGGCCCTTTCCCAAAAGTGCCCTGGGGTTTTGTTGAACAAAGAAGTCACCAGGGATTTCTGTTGAGGTTTTCCTTTTGGTCCCTGTGTTACTGACTTCTTGGGGAAGGACCCCGGGGCGGCCCATCTGTGGCCAAGTTGACCCCACTGCTCCCCAGTAAGGCACAGGGCCTTGGGAGCGCTGAGAGACCCTACCACTGATGACGCGGACCTCACTTACCTGGCACCTGACACCTTAGTGCCACTCGTGCCTGTATCGCTGGGGCCAAGGGTAGCTGTGATAATGGAGAATTGGTAAGAAAATAGCAGTTTTACTAAAGTTTCATTCATTTTAGTTGGCGTTTTGCTCTCCTTTCTGGTATAAGAAAGTATGTTTCTGCGTCCATCCGCGTCTTCTTTCATGTAATAATTGCAAAAGTGCCCTGAATAAGAGGGGGGTTCAGAGTGTCTGGGAGACAGTTATTCACAGCTTCTGGGATTTTAGGGCTGGACGGCCTGCATTTTAGGGTTATGGAAATTGAGGTGCTGTCCATTGAAAGCTTTGCACATGATGCAGGGAGTTTGAAGCTGCACTAAGATTCTGACCCCAGGCATTGCTTTCCTAATCTAGACTCCGTGATTCAATGAGATGCAGCTTTTCAAAATTTTACAATTATGTCTCTTAAACTCCTTCAAAAGTAATCCCATATATGCTCCAACAGACATAGATATAAATATATATTTGGAAATGGTTTTATATTTCTCATTTCTTTGTATCAAGTATGATCCAAAGTATCAAGTATCAAAGTATCAAGTATGATACAAACTATTCTTTCTTGGTTTAATGTAAAATAAAGTAGCATATTATTTCAATAGACTATGAAGTTGTTTTATAATGTTCTTCTCTTCATATAAAACACATTTATCTTGTTTACCGTACCTAACTGGGATAGTTATATACTACTAGGAATTTTTTACAAAGAGTATAATTTTATATTTAATACTCTCAGTTCAATATGATGCAAAAGTTGATTCAAGGAACGATATAGTTGTGTGTGTGTGTGTGTGTGTGTGTGTGTGTGTGTTTATTATTGGGGACTGAACCCAGGACCTTCACACTGAACTACATCCCACCCCTTTTTTAAAATGTTTTTTGCCGGCTGTGGTGGTGCTGTGATCCCAGCACGAAGGAGGATGAGGACGGAGGGTCACTGCAAGTTGGAGGCCAGCCTGGGCTACATATGAGTTCAAGGCCAGCCTGTGTTACATAGCAAGATCCTGTCTCAAAATCAAACAAAAATAAATTAAATACTGTTTAAATATTGAGACAAGGTCTCACTAAGTTGCCCATGCTGGGCTCAAACTTGCACTCTTCCTGGCTCAGTCTCCCAAAGTGCTCAGATTGCAGGCATGTACCAGCAAGCCGAGCTAAGGAAGCCAAATAATTTAAATGTCAGATTTTCCCGAAGATCTTATTTGGAATAATAAAGGTTATAGCCCCCCCCCAAAAGGAATCATCCAAATCATTAAACCCATATTGAACAATCATAGGATAAGTAGCTTATTACAATGTAAATGAAATAGTCAATACATTAATATTATCAGCATATTATATGTGGACTTCAATCGCGGAGCACAAATGGGTAGCTGACAAATATATTTACGCTATTTCTAATTTTTCTCTGTGCTCTAGGTTGCCAGGAAATGTTCTGCAGAAACTCGTTCATGAGGACTCACGTTATTTTTGTTTTCTTTCTCACAGCGTGTTCCTGAGGATGGAAGCGGTGTTTCTTTGCCCGACTCCTTGCCGCTGAGAGTCATGAGCCTGCATAGCCAGAGGAAGAGCCTGTATTTAATGATGACGAACCTGTCACCGGTATAGCAACAGCAGAGGGCCAAAGCGAGTACAAGGAAGCCCTGTTTACACTTAGATTCCACAAAGAAGGCGTTGCAGTCGACAGCTTGCTCTGCGTTGCTTTTCTACGATGAACCGCTACACAACCATGCGGCAGCTGGGGGACGGCACCTATGGGAGCGTGCTCATGGGCAAGAGTAACGAGTCGGGGGAGCTGGTGGCCATCAAGAGGTGCGTGTGCGTGCGTGCGTGCGTCGTCAGTGAGTCCCGCGGCGTGTCCTTTGCTTGGCTGAGAATATATCCGCACACAGAGAGGGGTCTACTTCATAACCCAGGCTAGTTTGACTAATGGGAAGAAGGAAATTACCAAGAAAGAATACTCTTCTCATCTTTTTTTTTCCTTCTCATCTTTATGTATATTTCTTTGATTATCCGCTTTGTCCGGATGCATTAATAAACCAAAAATTTTAAGAGCGCCTCTTTTCTTTTTATTTTATTTATTTATTTATTTTGGTGCCGGGGATTGAACTCAGGACTTTGCGCTTGCAATGCAGGTGGCAGAACCACTGAGCTAAATCCCCGGCCCAAGAGCACCTCTTTTCATACCTAATACATTTGGACTGAGACTGTAAGTAATGAATGTTTTTTAGATTTAAAGTTGAGAACAGGGCTGGGGATTTAGCTCAGTGGTTTCGCCACCTGCGGCGCAAGCGCAACGAGCCGAGTTCGATCCCCGGTACCAGTAAATAAATAAATAAATTAATTAATTAATAAAAGTTGAGAACAGAGTAGAGCTTATAATTTCTTTCAAATAATAAGCCTCTAAGGCTGGGGATTTAGCTCGGTGACACCGCACCTACCTGGCAAGCACAAGGTCCCGAGTTCAATCCCCAGTACCAAAATAATAATAATAATAATAATAATAATAATAATAATAATAATAATAATAACGAAGAAGAAGAAGAGGAAGAAGCAGCAGCAGCAGCAGCAGCCTCTAACCAGCCATGGTGGTGTATGCCTCTAAACCCAGCACTCTGGGAGACTGAGGCAGGAGGATACCAAGTTTGAGCTCATCCTGGGCTACCCAATGACTTAGTGAGAAATGGACACTGTCTCAAAACAAAAAGTAAGAAAGGACTGGGGATGTAGCTTAGTAGGAAGGCCTACATTCAGTGCCCAGTATAGCAAATAAAGAAATAATTCAAGCTCTCAAAATAAGGTAGTATTTATAAAGTCCAATTCAGTTCTAACGGCACATAGTAAGTATTTTCTTGCTTACAGTTAATTATTTCTTCCTAACCTATTGTGTTTATCTATTGCTATATATAACAAAATAAAAGCTTAGTGATTTAAAATAGCAACAAGCATTTATTAACTCACAGTGTCTGTGAGTCAGGAATCTAGCAGCTCTGGCCTGGGGACTCTCAGGAGGTGGCACTCAGACGCCAGCAGTCACTGGTCACGGTGCTGGAGGGTCCACTCCCGATGGGCTCGCGATATTGGTGACCTCACATGATCTTCTGTGTCAGATTCAAACTTTTTTTTTAAACTGGTGCTGAGGATTGAGCCCAGGGCCTTTGCCTTGAGTATTTCCTCAGCCCTGTCTCGGGGTGGTGGTGGTGGTGGGGGGATTTAGGGCAGTGGTTTCGCCGCCTACTGCGCAAGCGCAAGCACAAGAACCGAGTTCGATCCCCGATACCAAAAAAAAAAAAAAAAGAATGAGAAGAAATCATCATAAAAAAGAGGAGGCAGGAGGAGTCCACGTTTGGCCCACTTTGGGCCTCTTAGCAACCTCCTGAGACGGTGTCTTAAAACTAAAATGGGCTGAGGACATAGTCCAGCACAAAGGCCCCGGGTTCAGTGCCGGGGAGAGACGGTGAGGCTTGGCTGGCGCTGAGTGAGAAGTGATGTACAGTACAAGCGCCTGGGGTGTAGATTAGGACTCGGGCAGAGGCGGGACAGAGGCTGAGGGTGAAGTCCCAAAGCCGGGTGAAGGAGTTTGCCGGTCTTGGAAACCGGAAGGTCATAAGCGTCCTAAGCAGAAGCGCTGATGTGATCAGTTTGGGAATCAGCCCTTTCTCAGGAGGGCAAACCTGGGCAAAGGCGGCCGGTTAGAAGGTGGGCTCCGTCCTCTTCGTTGCAGGTGGTCGTTCGTGGTGTAGGAAAACAGCACTGGGGACAGACGTGGGGGACTGCAGGAACGTGGCTCTGCAGGAACGGGGCCTGGGTACGGGGCGGGGGAGGAGCAAAGACAGGCGAGAGCCAGGCTGACTCCTGCTGAAGGGCAGCGGTGGCATCATTCACGACCCGGAGCGGAGGTCCCGGGCTTTTCTGTTCTGGCCACGATGACTGGAAGATGAGGTGAACAAGCAAATATTTGCATTTAAAGCACAAAACAGAGGTCCAGCCTGATGATTCAGAAGGTTGAGGATGCTTATTCCAAATATCCAAAATCTAAAATGCTCCCAAGTCTGAAAGTTTTTGATCTCTGAAATGACCCCTATAAATGGAAAATTCCACATCTGACTTCGTGTGTAGCTTTTCATGAGACTGTAGTGAAAATGTAAGCACTCTAGAGCCAGGAGTGGTGATGCATGCCTGTAATCCAGGCACTGGGGAGGCTGAGGCAGGAAGATTGCTGTGAGTTTGACACCAGCCTGGACTACATAGTAAGTTCAAGGCCAGCCTGAGCTACACAGTGAAACCCTGTCTCAAAAAAGCAAAAGCAAAACACCAAAACAAAACAAACCGCAGGCTCTCTAAAAACGTATGAAATTACCTTCAGTTTATGTTTGTAAGGTGTCTATGAAACATAAATTAACTTTATGCTTAGATTTGGGTCTGATCCCCAAATATCTCTGTGTAGAGAGAGAAGTAAAGAAGGCCCCTTGCGGATCACTGAGAAACCCTGCACGTAAAGGATGGGCCCTGGAATCAGGTCTTCTTCGGGGGAAGCACTGGAGAACTACGGAGAACCAGGCAGGTAGAAAACACCTGAACCCCAAAAGGAGATGTGCTCAGCTGGAAGACAAGTGGAGACTAATGATTGAAACGCAGCTTTACCAGGTGGGAATGCCTCTTGTGCAAGTCAAAAGACGTACATTCACAGCAGGGAGCAGAATCGATGACCTCAATAAGGTTATTTTCTGACATATCAAGAGACTTGGAGTTTGATGATTCCAGAGCTCTTTCAAGGGATCCAGAGTGTACCCAAGGAATACAGACCTTTTCTATCTTCTTCTTGCTGAGTGGTCAGTATTTTTTGTCCTTAAGTGTGTCACCTAATGGCTGCATTGTGGCTCCTTCTGCTCCAGGCACTACATCTGTCTCCCGGGTGGAAAGAAGGGAGAATGGCACCAAAAGACTCCTCTCAGCCTTTTCCGAAAGTGGTATTTCTTTCTCCTAAACTCCAAGGGCTCCCCCTAGCTGTTACTGGCTAGCATCAGGCCATGTGCTCTGGGTTACTTCCAAAGGAGGCCCAGGAGTCTGCACCCTTCAGCCTCTATGGTCAGGGGCTGACAGTGACCTTTTGGTATCCAAGCAACGGCGTCTGGCATAGATTCCTTGGACTGTGTGTGACATAACCGGTGGCCGTGGCGAGTGCTGTTCCAGCAGAAGAGATAACTCAGACCAAGCGGCAGTGCAGAGCTGGGAGGGAGGTGCTGAGGTTGCATGCGTGACCCACGGAGGGGACTGGAGGCCCGGCAAAGCCACGCAGGCGACTGCAAGGGGCCAAGAGCTGAAGGAGAGGATGCAGGAGGCTGGAAGGAAGTGTTTCTGGGCGCCTGTGATGGGCCAGAGATGAGCGCTGGGGGTTAAGCAGCTGCAGAGCCAGGCTACGGGCAGGATGATGACAGAAATGCCCCTCGAAGCCCGCACTCCTCAAGGCGTTGGACAAGACAGGATCGTCCCAGCCTGATGTCATCTACAGGGTCACATGGGACGCCTGTGTGCACAGGAGTAAACCTGCGCATGACAGGTGTGAATCCTCACTTTCCATTTTCAGTTTGTTACCGGAACAACTCACACCTCATGATACCCAGTCAGGACTCTCGTCTGCTGCCTGGAGGTACAGAAATTTCACATTCCCAACTTGGCATAAATAGTCTAGTTATAACACGTTGTGTAACCCTTTAAGTGCATCCATACTTTTCCCCCAAAATTAAAAATGAACTCCGTGTTGAAAGCTGGGTGTGGTGGTATAATCCCAGCGCTCAGGGGAAGTTGGAGAGACCCTGTCTCAAAAAACTCCCAGACTTTCCACGTTGAACACATTCTGTGAAGCCGGTGAAGAGCTGCTGTTGTGGTCTTCACAGTGGGCAGTAAGCAGGTCCACTGGAAGGCAGGTGGATTATCCAGGTGAAGGCACTTTTCATTCTGAAGCCCTTTTAAACAGAAGAACCAAAAGTGAGGTCTTGGGGCTGCGAGGGCAGGGCTGTGAATGAGATGGCTCTGTGAAGAACAGTGTTGGGGAGGGAAATGGAGAAGAGGTCGAGTGCTGGCCCAGGGCGGGAGGGCGATGAAAGTGAGACTAGGAAGCCAGGGAGGAGTCTGTCCAGGCTGGTCGGGGGCGGACCCCACGCGTGACGGTGTGTGCCGTGCATCCTGGGTGCAGGGACGCTGCCCCATCAGGATTGTGTACAGAACTCCAGGAGGTTCCTACAGGGACAAAATCACCTAGTGACGCAGTTACCACAAGTTCTCCCCGCGCTAAGTGACACTTGGCTACTTAATCGGAAAAGCTTTTGAGCAATCTAGAAATGCAGTCAAAACTGGCTGGGATGTGTCGGAGTGTGACTGGTTCTAACTTCTATGTTGGGAGACCCCTATGAAGAACACAATAAAAGGTCCTGCTTTGAAACTGTCCCTTGGGGAATTTTAATCTAGGGGGTGCTAAGACATCTTGTCCTAACTGCACCAACAAAAGAATAAATAGCTGTGATTGCCATATGTGGTGGTGTACACCAATAGTCCCAGCTACTTGCGATTTGGGGTAGGAAGATTGTTTGAGCCTAGGAGTTTGAGGCTAGCCTGGCAGCATAGCAGGATAATGATGATAATAATAATAGACAAAATGACAAACTCAGAAATACATTGCAGATTTTCAAAAGCTGTAACATACAACTCCTGTTAGAGGATGGTAGTAAGATTCCTTGCTAAATAAAGGGCTAGTAAGTTCTCTGCCCTTTAAGGATGTAAGAGGCCATTCCATTCCTGAGGTCTTCTTGCGTGTTGGACCCTGTGGCTTCAGTGAGCCCACTTGTTGCAGATATGCGTCCAGTCGTTCAGCAAAGATTTACCAGGCACCTACGACATGCTGCACGTGTGTCTAGGCACATGGCATTCCCAAGGAGCTTACTTCCAGGGAGAGGAAAGAGGAAGCAAGCATAATAAGCTACTACAGAGTAGGTCAGAGGGTGCTGGGTGATGTGGAGCAGAAGAGTAGGAAGGAGAACAGCAGATAACATCATCATCATCTCACCGTGGGCACCTGGGAGTAGCCGTGGAAATAATTAAAGAAATGCAATGGCCTTTTATTTCCTCTACTGAGCTCTTTCTAGCTCCTCCTGTCTACTTGAAACTTCTTTTTCTGTCTCTGCATGCTAGCATCTTCCATCTTTGTGGTCTCAGCTGAAATGTTACCTTATCCAAAGGCCAGGCCATTAAACCTTTAAAAGAGCCCCTTTCTGTCCTAGCTTATGGTCCTTATAACTAACTTCTACTCCTTTTTTGTGTTAACTGAAGTCTGTTGCCTCTATTAGATGGAAATAGTGCAGTAACCATTTCTGGTCTGTTCATTTTTCTGGTACTTAGCAGATGTTGGATGAATGGATAAATGGAAAAAAACCTAAAGGCAAGAAACCTAAAGGAGGTGCTTTTTCTTACCTAGGATTGTCTTTAGGGTAATTATTGTGCAAGGAAACTTCTGTATTGGTAATGGATACATGCATTGCCTTAGGGAAGAGTTGCTGAGCAGTGGACATTTCTGGGGGGAAAAAAGTAGCATAGTAGAAAATATGGATGAAGACAGTACAGATTTTAAAAGTAGAATCAAAGTTTCAATTGCTACTGAATTATGAAAGGTTACTTGAGTATAGTTTTCTAAAAGATTAGAGATTTTTTGAATTCTGAAATTATTTTTTAAGAATCATAGCAGATTATGTATACAGTTTGGGATGGATGTCATCATTTTATTAAACTCCTTTATAGGTATATTTGAATTGATTTTTAATTTTATATTCATTGCAATGCTAATTCATCTTTTGCATTATAGCAAGACATTTAAATCCATAACTCTGAAAAGTATCATTAGAAAAACTGGTAAACTGTCAATTTCATCAAGTTTTTTCATAAGTTTCTAGTACCTGAATGACAATAGATGAAATTCTGATTCTTTGAGGATATTTTAGAAATGATAGCCGAGATGCCCTTCATGTCTTATGGCTGACTGTAGATAATTGTTTTGTAAAATGAATGTCTAGGGCTAGGGATTTAGCTCAGTGGTTTCACCACCTGCTGTGCAAGTGCAAGGACCCGAGTTCGATCCCTGGTACCAAAAATAAATAAATAAATAAATAAAATGAATGTCTGTTACTTACTGATTACTAAACTAAGCAGTTTACAATAGCTTTTCTTCTTCAGTAGTTTCTACTTTATGGTTAAAGAATGTGAGGGACAGGAAGGGCCTTAAATAACTTGGCCAAAGTCATACAGTGACTGAGCAAGGATCTGCTTCCGGGCCTTACAGTTCTGCTTCCGGGTCTTCACACCCCACCTAAGAACTTTATGCTACCAGTTCTGTGCTTAATTCCTTCTGTATGTTACACCCTTGGAGAGGCTCTGGATTAGAAGAATTACTGGAATTAATAAAGTAGCTCTAAGCTTACTGAGGATCTTCTGGGTCATCTCAACAGGAGATTATAGTACAACCTGAAAGCAATAAAACATATTTGGCTTTTATTTTTCATAATCCAGCCTTGTAATTCCCATACCTGAAGAAACTCTTTTTGAACATGAATCTTGTTTTTGTTGTTGTTGTCTCTATTATATATGTTGACCAAAAATCCCTACGTATAAAAATACAACCTCTGTCTGTGGTGTACATGGTGGAATTACTTTATTACTCTAAATATACTTCTGGTATGTGTATCTCTAATGGTAACCAACACTGAGATGGAAGAGGAGATGTAAAGAACAGAATTCAAGAAGGGCCCTGGGTTCAGTCCTAGCATCAAAAAAAGGGAAGGAAGGAGGGAGGGAAGGGAGGGAGGGAAGAAGATGGATATTTCTAAAGCTTGGTCAGTTCTGGATTTTTGCTGAGTTAAATCATTTAACTTTATGTGCCTCCTGCCTAAAACTGAAGTAATGACATAAAAGTTGTGAGATCAAGTAAATCATTGACTAAATTTGCTATCAAAATTTATGATTCTTCCCCATCTCCACCAAACTATAGTATTTCATATGTGTTTTTTATGTACCAGAAAGAAAGGAAATATGGAAGGGGCCCTTTTAGGAAAGCACTATTAAATTGCTTAGAATGATGTTAAGACCTTCATGTTAAAGCAGCCTGTCAGACATGATGGGCCTGACCTTTACCAAGCCCCCTGAGATGTAGGCAGAGGGGATTTCCTTTCTAGGCATAAGAAAGAGAAGAATCACAGCTTGCCCAAAAGGAACCAGTAATGACCCTGACCCTAACCAATAATGAAGTAAATGGTAAAGTATAACCAAGGATATAATTTGTATCTTGGAATCCTCAATCCCATACACTAAATGTTTCCTTATCTATTTCAGGATGAAGAGAAAGTTCTATTCTTGGGATGAATGTATGAACTTGAGAGAAGTTAAGGTAAAGCCTGAGAGAGGAAAAGAATCAAGGCCTGTCTACCTCGGCCTGAGGACAGTAGCTAGGCACCTTATTCTCTCTGTGAGAAGCATTCCAAAGATAACTGTGTTTATCTTTTTTCTTTATCTTCCCAATTTTTTATTTTTTCTTCCTCTGGTGTTAGTGGAAAATTGAAAATAACTGTGCCTTCACATCTAAATTTCTCCCTCACTTGAAAACAGCATTTTAAATTCATCTTGTCAAAGGAAAAAACACTTTTTAAATTACTATGTCCTTTTTCCTTATATTTTGTGCTGTATGACTTGAATAAATTTTTGGAGATATTTGCATGGAATTTGACATATTTAAGTTAGAAAAAAAGGACCAATTTAACAGACCCAGAGAAAAAAGTGACAGATTAAAATGTTAGGTAGCTGTTGTTGACTGGGTTTATATTTGTATTTAACATTCATTACTTAAAGCACTTACTACTTGTTTTAAATAGGTGTTCTAAGATGTTTTAAAATTATATAGATATTAAAATATCATTCATTAAGCTAAAAAATGGAAAATTACTTAAGGTTGTTTTCATACCTAGCATTGATGAGATTTTGCCAATTTCTATAAATTTGTTTTAAGAATTTTAATGCTAAAAAAATAAATAAAAAAGAATTTTAATGCTTTGCTGTTTTGCAGTCTCTGAAGAAACTTAATCATGTCAACGTGATTAAACTGAAAGAAGTTATCAGAGAAAATAACCATCTTTATTTTATATTTGAATATATGAAAGAAAATCTCTATCAGTTAATGAAAGACAGGTATGTCTTTATTTTGGAAAACTATATTTTCCCCTAATATTTCTTCCATGAGTTCCTAAGATCCTTTCAATATATCACATTTGATATATAGCTTTATCACTCTAAGAGGTGGATTTAATTAGTGCTGTTATTTTTATTAAATGGTAGCATTTAACACTGAAGAACCAGGTATTCCACAGCCACTTTTCTCTTATAATTCCTTGAAGGCCAACATGAAATTTCATATACACACAGGTACCATTTTACTTCGTAAAATAAAATAAAGTCTACCTATAATCTAATGTCATTAGGCAAAATTGAGGGGATTATCTTCATTGTCCCGCGAATCACCTTGTGAAAGGTTAATGAAAGAATGGAAAAAAGAATGAAGTAGCTTTCAAGAAAGGGTCTAATAAAATCCCTCATTAGAATGCAGAAGTAAGTGATAAAACTTAATGTGTTATTGACCTCAAAGAAACTCTCATCTTAATTTTTAAGTCTGTGGGCAGAATCTCTAAAGAACTCGCTATCGGTCACTTTAATGGGTCCCCTGATAGAGATTAATATTTTGCACCCCTGCTTAGTCCTTACCAGGATCTCACTAGAGACGTCAAGCAAGCGCCACATGAAACTGCCTTGTCCAAGACACCCACCGCTGCCACGTTGCCTACTGAGCTCTTGAAATGTCTAAATTACACTCCACTATAAATGTAAAATAAACGATATAACAAGTTTTGAAAACTTGGTATAAAAGAAAGAAATTTATTATGTGTACTGATTGCATGTTGAAATACTATTTGATATCTAGTAGGTTTAAATAAAATATATTGTTAAAAATTAAGTGAAGAGGAAGACAGGAAAGGTTGATCAGTGGGTATTCAGACCAGAGTAAGAAATCCTGATGTGCTATCATACAGTTGGTGACTGTAGAGAACAATCATGTGCTGTATGTTTGAAAAAGCTAGAAGGACTTTGGATGTTTTCATCATACGGAAATGATAAATGTTTGAGGAGATAGCTATGTTTAGGCTGACCTAAACATCACACAGTGTATACATGTATCAAACATCACATGAGGCCGGGGATTTAGCTCAGTGGTTAGATCCCTGGTACAGGAAAAAAACATCACATGGTACCCATTCATATGTACAATTTTTAGGTATCTATGCATCAGTTAAAATAATTTTTTCAATAAAATTTAAAGATAAGTTTAAAAATTAACTACCTACTTCATTTGCGTTTTTAAAATGTGGGCACTGCAAACATTGCTAAGAATGTAAACGGTGCTCGTTTGTGACTCTGACTGTATTCCTATGGCCTGTACCACGGTGCAGCATAATGGAAGCCCACATTCCCATAGAACTCTTCGAGGCTACACAACATAGCTTTCCCACTCGTCCGATCTGATAGCGATTCAACTTCCCACTTTACTTTGCTCCTCTTGGGCCAGTTTAGAATTTAGCTATTGAATTTTGTATAATACATTCTGTGTTGGATTTGAATTTCTGAGCAACATCAAAACAAAAAATTCTATTTGCACATTTTAAATTTATGATCTTTAATCTGGGCATGGTGGCAGATGCCTGTAATCCCAGCACTTGGAAGGCTGAGGCAAGAGGATCGGCATGAGTTCAAAGCCAGCCTGAATTACATAGTGAGACCCTGTCTCAAAAAATGAAAATGATAATGATAACAATGTATAATCTTTAACTCTAAAAATCTATAAATTATAGTTTTAGTCAGTATAATGAAGCCAATAGAGGTACCAAGGCCAGTGGAATATCTTATCTTCTTTATGTTGTTTGGGAATATCTATCTTTTCTTTTTTTTTTGGTACCAGGGATCAAACTCGGGACCTTACACTTGTGAGGCCGGCAGCGGAACCACTGAGCTAAATCCTCGGCCCATATCTATCTTTTTTGTGCTGGTTGGTAACAAAATTTCACAACTGTTGCTTCATTTCTTCCAGAAACAAACTGTTCCCGGAGTCAGTCATCAGAAACATTATGTACCAAATACTGCAAGGGCTGGCATTCATCCATAAACATGGTAGGTTTCTTTCAAGTCTCATCCCCCTGCCTCTGTAGAATAGTGTCAAATCATGCAAATTAATTGTATATCAACTGTTAAATAATTGTATATTAAGTAACTACAACCTTGTGGTATACGTCTACTAAATGGCTTTTTAATTTTAAATTGTATAATTCTATTATAAAGCAGAATATGTATAATCTATGACTGTCTTCCTCCACAGCAGAACTTTTCAGCAGTTTGATCATTGGTCTGTAGTCTCGGTCATCATCAACCCATCCTACACCCTCATTCCCTCTGTAGTTCGTATCACTGGCAAAACCTCAGAATCCACGTCATCTGTGTGCCCCCAGGATACTTGAGACCATCCATAGAAAAAGACGCCCTTCGATTTGCAAGAGGAGATTTTCTCTTTTTCGTTCTCCTGGGTTTTCTGTTTCATTCTCCTGGGTTTTCTGTTTCATTCTCTTCAGGGCTGACTATTAGCCCATGTAACTAACCATTTGGTTTCTACATTGAATGGGGGATCTAAGCATCTTAACTATTGAGGTTTTCAAAAGCTTAGCTACCAGGAAGGACTGAGCTGTTAAAATAATTTTAAATGAGGAAATTAGCTATGATATGTCAATTTCCATTCTTGCCCAACATTCTTTTCAAGAAAATGATTAGACTCAAGGAATCTTGCATTCTGTTGCACTGTGACGGAATCCTAGTGAGAACAGCTACTCGGACTTACACCTGATTAGGATGCACTTCCAATGCATCAGTTAGGCTATGGATAAATCAGCTTCCCCATTCCTGGGACACAATACCCAGCACTTACAGCTGGAAGGAAGAGAGGTCTAATTTAGCTCACAGTTCCAGGGAACCCAAACGGGGTCACATGGCTCTGAGGTAAAAACAGCACGACGGATGGGCATGGTGGAACAAAGCTGCTTAGCTCATGGTGGCTGAGGAGCAGAATGGGGAAAAGGACCAGGTATAGTACCAAAGGCCACACATCCATGACCCACCCAGATACACCCAGAAGTGTGTATCCCTTGGGCGGCTGCCAATCAAGTTGATACAATTAACAGTCACAGGCTACTTTCCTGGGCTTCAGCCTCCCCAGCTATTACACAGTGGTGATAACAATGGCTCCAGCCTCCTTAGAGGTTGTACCTTAGTGGAGATAACCCTAATGTGGAAGTATTTATCCCTGCACCCAAACCTTCTGAAATCACAAATAAAAATAAATGTTGAATGGGTGGTTATCTGATATACTCTGAACTTTCTTGCCAAATCGTTTTGAAAGCAGGCTCCTCATATCCCATCACTTCTTAGATAATAATAAATACGGTTCGGTTTCCTAACATCACACTTCTAGTTACAAGAGAAGCGCAGTATTGTTTTGTCTGTACATCAAATGAAACTTTGTTAAATTATGATGATTTATTATGTTTTCCCTTCTATCTGGCCAAGGCTTTTTTCACAGGGACATGAAACCAGAAAACTTGCTTTGCATGGGTCCAGAACTTGTGAAAATTGCAGATTTTGGACTTGCCAGAGAATTAAGGTCACAGCCACCATATACTGATTACGTATCCACGAGGTGGTAAGTAGATCCCGACACTTCTCCAGAGCCGTAAGTGTATATTGAAATTTCCTACAATGAGTTGTTACCTACATTTCTGGAGGTTCTATGTTGGGTATTTAAAACAAAATATAGAAGTGAATTTTATATTCCTCGCAAAGAGAGAATTAATTCATAACTATTCTGATCGATGAAATAAGAGCAAGTGAAGGATTTCATTCATTCATTCATTCATTCATTCAAAAAATAACATTAACGCCTACTATGGGCCAAACATGACTTTAGGCCCTGGAAACCCAGCCATGAATGAAAGAGAAAAGAAAAACCTCTGCCTCACACTGCTTACGTGACAGCTGATACACAAATAAGCTAAAAATAGCATGAGTCAGGGCTGGGGATTTAGCTCAGTGGTTTCGCCACCTGCTGCGCAAGCTCAAGGACCCGAGTTCAATCCCCGGTACCAAAAAAAAAAAAAAAAAATAGCATGAGTCACCAGAGAAAGGCAGGCACGTGTCCCCAAAAGGCGTGTGATAGTCCCCACTGCAAACGGCCCAGGTGCCTCTCGCCAGCACCAGTCCTGTCGACCCAGCTGTGGGAACAGACGGTCTCAGCTGCACAAAGCACTGTGTCTGAGCCCCCAGAGGGAACATGGTGATCAAGAAGCCAAACAAGAAAAGTACGATTCCATTTACATCAAGTGCAAAAATAGACAAAACTGACCAGTGCCGGGTAAAGTCAACATAATGATTGTACAGAGGTTAGATAGAAGTAACTGGGTGCGCGGGACTCTGGGAGAATAACGCCCTTTTCCTGACCTGATTGATGCTGGCTCCATGGGTGTATGCTATGTGTGCCTGCACCTGTTACAATAGGTGCATCTTCCTGTATTATACTCCAATAAAAATAAGAATAAACACAATACACATATATCACATGGGGATACACTATTATGGAGAAAAAATGTGGAGCAGTGAATGGAGTTGGGAGAAGGGGAGGGAAAGGGAATATTGCTATTTTACTGGTCTGTTTATTTATATACTTATTTGAGGTGCTGGGGGTCAAACCTGGGGCTTCATGCAAGCTAGACCGGCATTTTGCCAAACCCCTGGCTGATTATTGCTACCTTAGTGGAGTGTCTCACTGAGAAGACGCCTGGAGAAAGGGCTGGGCTGGAGACACGAACTTCAGAGTTGGCAGTGTTAGAAATCTCCGGATTGGATGAGATCGCCAAGGGAATGAGACTGAGCCCAGATAGAGTGACTGTACATCCAGTTTGCCCGGGACAGTGTCACCCGATACCATTATCGACAGTTTGATTGAAATACACCAGGCTGGGTCATTTGGGCCTCCCGGATGCCTCCCACTTCCTCCATGGTCTTACCGGGTGACGTTAGAGACACGCAGAGAGCGAGCCAAGTTGTTGGCCCACGATTTCCTGCAGCTTTTTTCCTTTCATGAGGCAGTGCGACAAGATGTGTTAGACAGGCGTGGGCCTCAGTCTGGGGGTCAGCTGGAGAAGTGTTTGGCAGCCACTGGTGGCCTTTGAGATGTCCACTGGTAGAATTTGGGGTGCACAGAGGGTGTCGGAAGTAAACACTCAGCAGTGTACCTGGAGATCATATCCGATGTAGTCTGAATGTTCTTCTAGTGATTATTACATGATATATATCTATAACTCTCTCCCTGTTTGCTATTACAGGCTGAATTGCATCTTCTAAAAGATATACTGATATCTGTGAATGTGACCTTAAATGGTAAACGAAGTCTTCACAGATGTAATCGAGTTTAGCTGAGGTCATAGTGGCCTGTGGGGGTCCTTGCTCCTTAGAAGGGAGACACTGAGATGGCCCCATACACGGGGAGGCTGTGAGGACAGCCAGCCAACAGCACTGTGCTGGCAGAAGCAGGGATCAGGATGCCGGGTCCACAACCCCAGCAGTGCCCAGAATTGCTGGCAACACCAGAAGCTAGAATGGATTTCCCTGGAACAGATTTCCCCTAGGACCTTCAGGGATCACTGCCACACCAGCACCTGGAGCTCAGATTGCTGGGCTCCCGAACTGTCAGAACACTACGCCATCCAGGTTGAGCTCTTGGTTACAACAGCCTTAAGGAATGCATTGGTAGTGCTTTCTGATGAAATTATTTTGCAGTGCAATCTCTTATCGACAGTGAACTCCAAAAAACAAAGGTGCAAATTTACTGAAAAAAAATAGGCGTTTTTTCTGTTTCTTAAGAGAAATGCTGATAACCTATACAAAACACGTGTTTTATTTGTCACCCATCACAAGGGCCATGGTCATGACCTAGTGACAACCAGAACCCATTGGAAAAGTTAGTCACTGTCTTAAGAAGAGTCCAGAGATGGCAAACGTAGCTTTGGGTGAATTTTCACATTATTCTAGAAGGTTCTACCTCTCCTTTAGGTCAATGACTCTTCTTCTAAGATAATTTCACTCATCTTTGACTTCAAGTTTTGTTACGCAAGTTACAAAAGGCAGTAAATGGCTGTGAAAGTATAAGCTGCTTCAGGGGAGAAAGAATTTCACAGCTACATGATGCTGGCTTTAAATGAGTACTTCATGTGGTTCAAAGGAAAAATCAGTTCTCTTGTTTCTAATAATGACTTAAATTTCATTGAATCAGGGTAAAACTTTGGGTTGTTCATTCTGCGAGAGATGAAACATCTGACATTACTGTGAGTGCCACTGTATTTTCGGTTAGGTTCAGCACTGAAGATAAAAATATGGTTTTGCAGTGGGAGCACAAATACAAATTCCATGCAAGCACATCGTCATGAAAAGTGTTCTCTTTTTTTGATACCGGGGATCGAACTTGGGTCCTTGCTCTTATGAGGCAGGCGGCAGAACCACTGAGCTAAATCCCCGGCCCCATGAAAAGTGTTCTTGCTAAATTAAGACACCAAGAAAGTAGAAGTATACTTAGTTAAGATGTGTGTCTATTTTGGAATTGCATCCACACACTCTACCAATCAAAATACAAACTGTAGTTGTCAGGACTTACAAATCCATATACACATCCAGGAGTAGAGTAACTGAACTAGCAAATTTTTTGTGATGAAACTGATGTTGACTATAAGAAATAACCCCAAAACTTCAGCATGGCCGTGTGTAATCTCGCTTCTGCCATCTGTCATTGTCCTTGCAGAATTACTTTGTAAACCAGTTTAAATGATTTAAGTGACATCTTGCTTCCTTGTAAACAAGTCCATTAAATTTTGGTTTCATTTTGTTCCAGATCACTTGAAAATCCTAATTCAGAATTTTTAATAAATTCAGGACCAAAAATTCAAGTCTTTGAGGCTTATAGCACATTGCAGTTATTGAAAACAAAGCTTGAATACAGGAAGACACTGACATTTATCCTCCTAAACAAATTAAGTGATAAGAGCTCAAATACTATAGTAGTTTTATTATTTTTAATGTGAATTTAGCTTTGGAGACTCTCCTCTTGCAGGAAGATTCTTTGGAAGGAGATTTGTCTTAGGCCCTTTCTTGTTGCTGGGACAAAATACTCCACGCCCACTTCTTGAAGGAAGAGAAGCTAAATGGCTCTTGGTTTTAGTCCACGTGGCTGGCTGCCTCCAGGGCAGAACAGCACAGCAGAAGGGTAGGGCCGGGAGAGGTCTCTCCCATGGCAACTGGGAAGCAGAGAGGGAAGGCAGGGGCTGAAGACAAGGATGTGCCTTTCCAGGTCACGCCCCTAACAGCTTGTTCAGAAATGAATTCCTCCACGTGTGAAGTTTCACTCCAAATCACCTGTTTTTGGTCTTGTTGCTATTTCTATAGGTATCGTGCTCCTGAAGTTTTATTAAGATCTTCAGTATATAGTTCTCCCATCGATGTGTGGGCCGTGGGAAGTATAATGGCGGAACTCTATACATTAAGACCGCTTTTCCCGGGGACAAGTGAGGTGGATGAAATCTTTAAAATCTGCCAAGTTTTAGGGACTCCCAAGAAAGTAAGTACTCTTGTCCCTAAATCGTGATGACTTTTATTTATAACTTGCTACTTTACTTTGAATTTTATATCTTTTGATCATTTATAAATTTTGCTGATGTATCTGATTTTTCAAATAGCTTTATACTTTAATGGTTTTCTTATACTTTTGGGGGGAGGGGTAAGATAAGAAGCCAGAATCCCACCAGACTGTAAGACAACAGTGCTTGCCTTTCCTTAAGAACTTCAAGAAAAATTTTTGTTTGGTACTGGGGATCGAACTCCGGTCCTTGCACTTGTGATGCAGGCAGCAGAACCACTGAGCTAAATTCCTGGCCCAAGAAAATTATATCTATTTAGAGCGTGACTTCGGGTCAGTGATCGGCTGATAACTAGATGGCCAGCCTTGATCAAATGCTTCCCTTCTGTGAATGCCTTTGTCATCGGCCTATTAACCCCTGGGGTCTGGACCTTACTTCCTCTATTCCTTTCCTGTTTGGATTTATATTTCTCTGCCATAGATATTTGGTTTCTTAAACTCTGAGTACAGTACTTTTCAATTAATATCACATTTTTGGTAGACCTTATTTCTAAGGTGTACTTAAAAAGTGTAAACTAAGAACAATTATATCCTAATTAAGTCAGTGTGTGCCTTGTCATTAGACATAGAATTGTAGATATTAAAGCTTTAATATAATTATCATTTCCAAGGTATGTGTAATTTTTAACATTAGACTTGATATATAATATAATGAAGATTTTGGTGGGACACAGCCTTTCTGTAAACAGCAGTTGTCATTTTAGTTCAGAGTCACCAAGGTCACCATCTTCATCTTTAGAGTTTAATTATGAAAGTGCTTTCTTGGTTTTTCCTAATTCTTAGCTCAATGTTCTTTTTCCATGTGGGTATTTTAGGACTAAATCATATAGTGTGTCTGGTATTTTATTTTCACATTTACTTATATAAATTAGCATTAAAATTTTCATACCTGAGTGATTTTTATATTATTGCTGTTTTAAAAATGATTACTAAAACAATGCAATTTTTGCTCACCCCTGCTGGCACTTGTTATATTCCTTAAACAGAGTGACTGGCCCGAAGGATACCAGCTTGCGTCCTCCATGAACTTCCGATTTCCCCAATGCGTTCCTATCAACTTAAAAACTCTTATTCCCAACGCCAGTAATGAAGCCATTCATCTGATGACCGAAATGTTGAATTGGGATCCAAAGAAGCGACCAACAGCAAGGCAGGTGCGAGAAAGCTCCCTGCCACATCTCTTTAAAATGTTGAGGTTTTACGATAGCAGGGTGTTTTCTCCTATAAAGACAAATCTTTTCTCAACCAGGATTTTACCAAGAAAATGAAGACCTGCAGTATATGTAAGGAATCAATTTCTAGGCATATGAGATCCTGGGGAGAAATGCAGTTCTATAGGTGCTGTATTTTCCTTTATCTTGAGCTTCCGATGAGGGAGCTTACAGGGCAGAGGCAGAATGGAATCAAATAATTCAGGATGGGACAAACCAGTTAGGATGCCGCTCATCTTGGGCAGCAAAAAGGAATCTCTGCCATCCTGTGCCCTAGTGAGTTTTCTGCGCCCTCCTCTGGCTGAGGTGGGGTTTTAGTTTGCTGTACACAGCGGCAAGTGTTCCACTAGAGGGCAGCACTGTGGCGCCCGCCCTGTGTTCCCGACTATGGTAACGCCATGCCTTATTTGCAAAAAGCTTACATTTTGTTGTATTCTTACCATTTAAATATAAATTCGATGTGAAAGTTTCCAAATATTTAGTTTGCTCTTTTTAAAAAAATTACCGTAAGAAAATGCCCTCTAAGGCCATCTGGAAGAACAAATGGGAAAGAGAGTAGCCAAGACAGTTTGAACAAGAAGTGAGAGACGGCCGGGGATTTAGCTCAGTGGTTCTGTCACCTGCCTCGAAAGCGCAAGGGCCCGAGTTCAGCGCGCGAACGAACGCGCTGGCCCAGGGACTGACAGAGCTCCACACCGCGGGGTGCACTAGTTGGTGTACGGGGGACGCTGCATCACAAGCGGGGAAAAGGGAATTTCGGTTCTTCTCAGCAGACTTCCCAAAAGGATTGAATAATGTGTGTTATTTAATCCTACGGGAGGCTGAGGCACGCATATATTTACATATTTATTTTATATATATGAATGACATTAAATCATTAAAGACTGAAAGAAAGCCTGTATGAATATTTAACTTCAGGATGAGAACATGAATATTAAAGTAATAGAAGAAATCAGAACGAGACACTCAAGAGATCTGATTACTTAAGAATTAAAGTTGGAAGGCCGATGGGGTAGCTCGGTGGTAGAGTACACGATGACCATGTGTGAGTGACCCTGGGTTTGGTAACAAGCACCACAAACAACAAAAAAAAAAAAAGAAGAAAGGAAAAAAGAAATCAAGCTAGGTGTGGTGGTGTACACATGTCATCCTAGCACTTGGGAGGCTGAGGCAGGAGGGTTGCAGCAAGTTTGAGGCCAGCTGGGCCAGGTGGTGAGTGCAAGGCCAGCCAGAACTACACAGTGAGACCCTCTCTCAAAAAACAAACCAAGTAAAAAAAAAATCAACCCACCAAATAAACAGAAACGGTCTTACACTGTTAATGGTGAGCAATATATCCCAAGGGAAGAGTGCACATAATTTAAGCTGGGGCCGATTAGACTAGATAAATGTTAATGTAACATCTCTGTGCTTTCACAGGCACTGAAACACCCATACTTCCAAGTGGGCCAGGTGTTAGGCCCTTCCTCGAATCATCTGGAATCCACACAGACTTTCAATAAGCAGCTGCAGCCCCTGGAATCGAAGCCGCCTTCCGCTGAACTAGAGCCTAAGACTCTGCCAGATGTCACGGCCCAGACTGTCGGGGCGGCCCGGCCCACTCACGTCCCCCAGCCTCTGCAGGTCATCCAGCTGCCACAGAGCGCGGGGAGCCTGCAGCCCCCAAAGCAACAGAGCCAGCTGCAGCCGCCCCAGACGCTGTTCCCAAGCCTCCTCAGAAACGCGCCGGCTGTAAGTAGCCAACAGCGACACCGGGCAGGACATGGACATAGCCGGGCGGGTGCGGTTCGGGCTCTGTCTCCAGGCATTTATTTCCAAAACTGTCCCGGAAGATGGAAAAGCTCTGCTTCCTCCGGGAGCAGCTCCACATGACACCATGTAACATTCTGATAGGGTGTGTAACAGCATAACTTGCAGAATAAAAGTTTAAAAGCTGGCAGGCTGCAGATTTCCTTTAACAGTTACTTCCACACAAAGGAATTCAAAGGAATAAAAAGAATGAGGGCCAGGCGTGGTAGTACAAACCTGTAATCCCAGCACTCCAGGAGGCTGAGGCAGGAGAATCAAGTTGAAGCCTTGGCTGGGCAACTTAGTGACTTCCTGAGACCCTGTCTCAAAATTAAAATTTTTAAAAGGATGTAGCTCAGTGTAAAGCCCCTGGGTTCAATCTCTGTCACCATGCAAGAGAATAAAGAGTAGCTGAGAGTACTGACCCTAAATCTTAAGTATCCCACCAGTCATTTCACAGTGTTTTTAAGTGGAGCAGTGGCTCTAACACACAGCCTTGGCATGTCGTAGGCTGGCCACGTGGGGCATGTCAGCTCACTGTGTGACAGTTGTACAATGACGTCACCTAAACATGGCTTTGTCAGAGCACGTCCCTGTGAGGAAGTGATACAGGACACAGCTGTCTGCAGAAGGCTCTTTGAAAGACAGGGACTCAGGGTCTGATGGGATCACTTGTGCATGAAAGGCATCCAGAAAACGATTAAAGATTATAACCACCGATTCTCCCCAAAGCCGATCGGCACATTGGGCCATAAAACCGCGAGGAGGCGCTGGGGCCAGGCTGTCTTCAAGTCTGGAGATGTCTGGGAAGAGTTTGAGGATGGTGACTTCGGAGCCTCCCATTCCAAGAAGCCAAGCATTGGTGTTTTCAAAGAAAAGAAGAAAAAAGATTCTCCGTTTCAGTAAGATTTTAGATTCATATTTTTACTACACATCAACCTTATTTTATTAAACATAAATAAACATAGACCTTACATGTTCCACAGCTGCTCTTCCCTAAAATACCTGAACTTAAGAAAAAGTCCACGTCATCCTTGTGGTAGTCAGCCTTCCACCACTGTGACAAAATAACAGAGGCAATCAACTTACAAGGAAGAAGGGTTTATTTGGCTCACAGTTTCCGTCCATGGTCGCCTGGCCCAGGCCCAAAGCATCATGGTAGGAACATGTGACAGAGGAGGCCCCTTCACTGCATGGCAGTCATGAAGTAGAGGAAGAGAGAACAGACGCCGGGTTCTAACATCTCCTTCAAAGTCATCCATTCCTACACAGAAACAGCTGCAGAGGGTGGTTTCAGAAAAGATCAGAATGTACGGTACAGCAGCACTTTGCTGCTAGGTTTTAAAAGCCTTCTGCCAGCTGGTGTGGTGTCACACACCATAATCACAGGGCTCTGGGCAGCCCAGGCACGAGGGCCACAAGTTTGAGTCCAGCCTGGGCAACTTAGTGAGACCTGTCTAAATAAAGAAACACACAAACAAACAAGGGCTGGGGAAGAAGCTCAGTGCAAAGGCCTTGGGTTCAATCCGCACTACTGCTGGAAGCTTCCGCCACATCTGGTCTGGCACCGGAAAAGCCTCTCCATGCTGCTGATGTGGGGGGGCATGTCATTACCATTCTTGTCAGCAAGGGGACCAACAGAAGCCATTTCAGAGGGCATGGGAAAGGTCCGCTTTCCTAACAGTGTCCGTGTTGACGTTCCAGGCTTCCAGAGTCGGGACTCCTAGGTGCCAGCCACCCGGGCAGGGAAAACAAGAGCGTGCCTGCTGCTGTCTCTCTCAAGTCTGACTCCGAACCGTCAGCTGTGCCCGCATCTAAGCAGTACTACTTGAAACAGTCAAGATACCTTCCAGGTGAGCAGAGAAAACAAAATGTTTACTGTCAGCCAGAAGATAGATAGGTCAGGCCAGACCCCTCGGGAACTCCAGGAAAGAGCACAAAGTGGCACAGAATGTATAATCGCAGGGCTCTTTGGTGGGTATATCTGCTGCCAAGGACTTTCTGGACCCCTTACCTCTACCACTAGAAGTCTTTAAAACACGCAGAGCTGGGTGTTGTGGCACATGCCTGTGATTCTAGCACTCTGGGAGGCAGAAGCAGGAGGGTTTCAAGTTCAAGGCAACCCTGGACAACTTAGGAAGTTAGCAAGACCCTGTCTCAAAACAAAAAATGTAGGTCAGTGTGAAGGCCCTGGGTCCAATCCCTACCACTGGAAGAAAAAAAATGGAAGGGAGGGAGGGAGGGAGGAGAAAGAAATGGATGTGTCTGGTGGTGGAACCAACAGGACTTGCTGACAGATGAAACTCGGTGCCGGCCCAGAGGGGAAGGAACCGGTGCAGGGGCTGGGTTTTGACATGGCAGCGGGGTGAAGGTTTTGCGAGGACAGCAGTGCGGAGTGGAGGATGAGGGAAGCCCACCAGACAGCCGGCTGACCTCTGCAGTAGACAGCTGGGTGTATGAGCTGGAGCGGAGGGAAGACCTAGACACAGTCAGGCGTTTATGATGCACCTGCCCCTCGCATTTTGTCCTCTAAACCCAAGTACAAAGAAAATTGTAAAATTTAACCTGATCTAAAAGGGAATCAGTTTTTAAAGAGATGCACCTAGTCCACCTTTGCTTTGTGTTTCCGTGGACGCAGCCAGTCACAGCTTTCTAAACAGGGGCTAGGCAGCTGGGTCCACCGGAAGAAGATTTATCTCTCCCACGTCAATCTCCCGAAGTGGGCGGGTCCTCAGTTCCCAGAAGCTGGTTTGCAGAGGAGATGGAGGAAGGGTTGGGACTGGATTGCTAGCAGGAGATTGATACATAGCATGTTTTTCTCTGTACCTTTTAGGCAACCACATACATTTCAGTTCTAGGGATCCCATCGGGACCCATTGTTACTGTTAGTCAATGGGAGAGAAAGAGAACGACGCTGATACAAAGGTTTAGAAATGAATGAAACAGACAATAGAAGGCACAGTGGGTGCATAGGTTTAGCCACGGTGCCGAGTGAGTTACAGTCACTGTCTGCAGAGAAAGTGAAGGCTTCGGGGTGGACCGTCGTGCTAGGAAGGGAGGAGGAGGCCACCGCAGGAACAGTGAGGTTGAAGAGACTGCGATGAGGTCTTCAAGGACACAGCAAAACCTCACCACCCTGAGCGTGTGAAGATCTAAGCAAGTTAGCTAATGTTTGTTTGTTTTGTTGTAAGCAGATTATGGAGGCTCTGTGGCCCCAGACTGAGAATGAGGATGGGCCTAGAAAATGAGGGCAAGGAGAAGGAACAGGGAGCCTTCCGGGGAAGAAGGAAGGTGGGGAAGCCAGGAGTGGCAGTGTCCAGAAGCCAGAAGGGGCGTTTACTCGGGAGGGCAGCTGGGTAGGAAGGGACAGAAATATTAGGCTGGACAGTAGAGGCCTCACTGGCGACCTGCAGTAGTTTCAGTCTGGAATGCTGAAGGGAGGTCCGGGTGGGAGAGAGAGGCTACAAAGTTATGAGAGGTGAGGAATTAGAGTGAAAATGTGGACAACTCTTTGGGGCAGTGTGATAGGACATGGAACCCCTGGGGGGATTGGGGGTGCTTCCCTAATAATAGAAGGGCGCCCTCTGGTGGTAGAAACGACTACTGTGACTCATTGGCAAAGGATAAACGGTTCCAAACCACCACTTTTCATGGTTCTTCCTAATGTGGCTTTCAGGAACACATTTCAGGGTGTCTGAGACCTGTCCCATCATTTCGTCTTTCACTAGAAAGACATAAGGGATTCTGCAGTCACCCGGGAGCAGAGTATGGCTATAATTGAGACTTAGATAGTACACTCACCATGTACCCACTTCCCTAGACAAATGGGATCATTGTGTACTGCAGTCATGTACTAATTCCGATTTTAAACATTAAAAGAAAAAGGAAGTAGACTCAAAATGACAAAGGATTGCTTGAAACCTAAAATGAGGCTGTTACCCTGCTGACACTCTTTGATGGAAGTTGCCTCCCCATCCAGAACTAGCTGAGATTCGAAGCTAGAATTGAGCCCGGTTCCGTCACTTGAACAGATATTTATTGAGCACTTAGTGTGAAGCAGCAGGCATGCAGGAGTTAGAGCCCCGAATAAGGAGCAACCCTTGGTACTTGTGTAGGACGTGTTGCTATTTTTATAGTTGGATATCTTCAGGTACAAGAAAGAGTAATATCACTGGGGACTTCTTTTTCACCTCAAAGCGAAGTGGTAAAGGTCTTATTCCAACTGTCAGGATTAGGAGAGCTCTAGAAATGTACCCTAAATTGCAGGGCAGCATGACATGACACTGCAAGGACCGGTACCCGTGTGAGATTGGCCTTCAGCGAAGGAGACACAGCGCGTGGTTACTGACAGCTCCTGGCTGGCTGGGAACTGGGAGTGGGATTTGAAGGTTCTGTTTTCTGTTACCTGCAGTGGAACTGCAGTCATCTCAGCTCCCTTGGGAGCCTCAGGTGCTTAATTAGCCCACAGTAGCTGCAAACAGGGCACTGCTTTCGGATCTCCCAGGGCTGCCCTCTTGCCTCAACCCTAGGCCTGCAGCGAGGACTCTCAGTGTGAGCTGAGGGCACCCAGGCACCAGGGCCAGCTACAGCGCACTCCATAGCACACCTGACCCCTGGTCGGAGGACCCTTCTCCCTTCCTGTCACCACTCCCCTCCTCTCTCCACCCCACCTACCCAGTGAGTGGCCACTGCTGTTTCTGTGTTCGCCTCCCCTGTTCCATTTTCCATTTCTTTTTTCTTTTTCTTTTTTGGCGGTACCGGGGATTGAACTTAGGACCTTATGCTTTGAGAGGCAGGCGTAGTACCACTGAGCTAAATCCCCGGCCCCCATTTTCCAATCCTAAGCTGACACACACAATCCTCAGTGACCTGACCCCTCCTTCCTCTGCAGCCTCGTGTCGTCCCGCTCTGCTGTGCCAGCTGCACCCAGGCCCGCGTCCCTGGTCCTCTGTCTCCACCCCAGGTCTGGGACCCACTGTTGCCTCTCCCAAGAACACACCTTCCCACCCTCACTGTGATTCACAGCTCAGCTTAAAATCGCTATTTGCTTAAGGATTCTGCTGCTTTGGACATTTACCTTCTCCTAAACAATGTGCACACTGCTGATTATTTTCTTAATTATAACTAAAAATGTCTCCCTTCTCATTAGATTGCAAAAGCCAAAAGAGTAGAAACTGGCTCATTTACTTATTTTTTATCACTTTTTCTCCAATGCCACATGCACTGCCTGGCACACAGTAGGTGGTCGGTAAATATTTGTTAAATGACTTTTTAAAATCTCCTGTAATGTGAAAGACTATCGTCAGATAATGATGTGTATCATTATAATATCAAATGATGATAATGAGTATGTATGTTAATTTCTGCCCCTGCATAATGGTCCAATAAAAGCTCACATGGTAATAAATAATTTCTATAATAAAACTGTTCCAAATAAAATTGAAATCTTTATCTTACGTCCTTACATTAAACCAATTATCTTCAATAGTGCATCTATTTTATTTAGGAAAAAAAAAATTGAGGGATTTGGCCAAGGCAGTAGTTTTCCCCCTACCTTGTACTTTCTTTTTGAGTAAAAAATTTTTAATGTGAGTACTCAGCCCGACTGCATCTTCCTTATTTGTTAGATAACTGCCTGCTATAGGTCTGTTTGTGGGTGTTTTATTAGAAGGCAAAATCCATACAGAGTTATACCCTATGAGAAAGGGAAATTTTTTTAAAAGGGAAAAAAGAGAGAAATTAACCAGGAGTGTTTGAGTGCGACTATAATCCCAGCTACTTGGGAGACTGAGGTGGGAGATTTATGAGTTCAAGGCCAGCCTACGCAACTTAGTGAGACACCCCCGTCTCAAAATAAAAAATCTAAAGTAAGAATAAAAAGAATTGGCAAGGAGGGAATAAAAATGAGACAGAAAGAAGGGAGGGAATTATTCAGTGCTTCCTTAGAGACTTGGTGATGGGTCACAGTTGAAGCTCACAGTTCCTAGTTCTGAAACTATATTATTACTTATTGCTGTGTGAGATGGTATCCAGAAGGCTGGGGATAAGAGCAGTGAAGAGTTCGCTCACAGTCAAGGAATCGAGATTTAGATCAGACTGCTTTGTTAAGAGGGACAGTGGGCAAGTTTCTGAGAGAGAAATCTTGCCATCGGGGTGGGGGACTGGGGTCTTCATAAGGGGTGAAAGGCGTGGGAAGGGGTCTGAGGCAAATGCAGACATCTGGGAAATGCATCTCCAGGGCATGTGGCTCCTGGATAACCTTTCAGGAACAGCCACATGTGACCAAGGTTGTCGGTCACTGTGGCCCTGCAGAAAGCCCCTCCCACTGGGGACAGACTGACTTCTGCCGCACTAGGTCTTGGTCAGTGCTGCTGTGTTTCTTATGTCTGCTTCGTCAGCAATGGCAGGGTTGCCATTGCTGCTGAGGGTTTGAACCCTTTCATTGTCCACGGATAATCACTTCATAAATGTGAAACCTTCGTAAGGGATTCCATTTGCAAAAAGCAAAAGCTCATCCTTCCTGGAACAGCTCTAACTTTCTAAATCAATGGCAGCCTCGGAGATGGCATCTCCACCGGCTGATGAAGGCACCATGCATAAGACTTCAAGGCTTGACTGAAGACCTCAGTCAAGGAGTCTTCAAATCTCTTTCAGAAGGTTAAAACAACCCCTTTGACCATTGGTACCAAGGCCCCACACTGATTTGACATTTCACAGATTTCAGAAAACCAGAAATGATTCAAACTGTCCTCTTTTTCAAGAGCATTTCCAAGACTACTGTTCCAGTTCCTCAGTGATAAACTGTAGGCTTTCCTTGGTCTCGTACACCAGAGGTCACCAGCTCTAGGGCCATGGGCCAGTACTGGTCCTCTTTGGAACCGGGTCACACAGCAGGAGGTGAGCAGCTGGATAGCAGGCAAAGCTGTATTTCTGGTCCTTCCCCATCACTCCCATCACTGCCTGAGCTTCCCATCTGATCAGCCACAGCACTGGATTCTCATAGGAAGGAAAATCCTACTGTGAATGTGCATAGGAGCACAAACCCTACTGTGAATGCACATAGGCACACAAACCCTACTGTGAATGTGCATAAGAGGATTCTAGGTTGCAGGCTCCTTGTGAGAAAGAATCATATCCCTAAACCACCCTCACCCAGGTCCGTGGAAACACTGGCCTCCACAAAACATGGCCCTGGTGCCTAAAAAAAAACCCACTAGAGACCACAGTTGTATAACATAAGCATCCCAGATGGCTCTTTACAGGTCTGCTTTGGAGCTTTTTGGATTTCCCTGAGTTCCAGATCACACTTCTGTCTTCCCTGTTATGCCAGCTGCTCACCAAGGTCTGGCTGAAAGTGTACATTTGAAGGGAGTGACAAGGAACTTCCAGTTCTTTTGAAGAAAAATTTTTGTGCCTTCCCAGTTTTTACAAGACGAATAGGAACCGTGTCAAATGTTTACAATTACTTACATTATAGAGAGTGCAGTCTGTTTATAAAGTGCATTGTCAGCAATTCCAGGTTTGTGCTGAGGATTTAGGATCTTGTTAGGGTTTGGTTTTAACCAAGTATTTGCTACCTTTAAACCTAAATTTATCTCTAGTCTCCTGTCCACAGTATGTCTAGCTTCATTTGGATATATTCCCTTTTTCCTTCCAGTTTGTGATCACACACAAACCTTTGAAATGACTGCTTTGTTCTTCCAAGGTGTAAATCCCAAGCATGTGTCCCTCAGAGCCAACGGAAAGGACATAAACTCATATGCTTGGAATAATCAGCTGTTTCCTAAGTCACTGGGACCCACAGGAGCAGAACTTGCTTTCAAGAGGAATAACGCAGGTAACACAAGAATATATTTAAAATATCAATCCTGCTTGCCTTCTATAGGCGTTTCCTTTTAAATATTCTAACTACCTTCCTCCAGCAGAGGTATGTGTGCCCCAGGAGGGGGACCCACAAGTTACAAAGATCAGACTTGAGCACATAGTTCTAAAGGAATCATTCACCAGATCCTCACCTTCCATCCAAATTCTCTCCTTGACAGATCTCCTTATAAAATAGCAAAGTGTTCCTTAAACCTCCTATGTCACAAGAGGAAAGAAGGCTTCTTGCTGGTTAAGATGATGTGTTTCCTCCCAAAATGTAAGAATATCTGGGGTGCCAAGCACAGGGACTGTTACACTGCAGTCAGTGTTGAGAAAGTAAGTGATCCTTGAAGACTGCAGAAAATCCTGTCTAAGGCAGGAGGTTTTCAGTTCTTAGCTTCCAGGAGATTGAAGGAGTCGTTAGCTCATGGGATTAAAGATCATTTTTATGAGATCACTGTATGATTTCAGAGATACTCTGCATCTCTGAAGAGTACAAAGAATAGACTGGCAAAGCTATAACAAAACACCTTTCATTCCCAGAAACTTATCTGTGTTAGCCAAGTTTCTCAGTGGTTCTATCTATTGGGAGCGGGGGGGGAGGCGTTTATAAGAAAATTTACTTTTCATGTTTAGTAATCAAAATCTGTAATACCCATCTTTTCCCTTTAATTATATATAATGAATCATTCTAATTATAACTTAATCCAGAAAAAAGTAATATGGTTACAGAAATTTAAAACTTTAAAAAATTCATACATATTTTTGAGTGATCAATTTAAAGACTTCTAAGCCTAAAGTTATATTTGAATAAAATTTGGAAGCTAAGATATGAATGAAAATATAATTTTAAGGGTAAAAGCAGAGGGTTAATGGTAGAGCACTTGCCTGGATGTACAAAGCCCTGGGTTCTATTCCTAGCATTACAAAAATATATGATTTAGGAGGAGAAGAGAATTCATGTGAAATTTCCAAATGTGAATGGATATATTTTTACATAAGTATTGGTGGGCATAAAATCACATGGTATTTAGATTCCCTTGGTTATATTGAAAGATAAAATGGTTTTATTTTTTAAGTGTTTATAATTTCTTTATTCCAGAAATAACATTATTTGCAACTGTTAACTTACGCTGAAAAACTTTAGATATCAATGTAAAAGTGTGTGACGAGATACCGAGATGCCATCTCTTAAAAATGTGGGTGACGGCTGGGCGTGATGGTGCACACCTATAAGCTCAGCACTCTGGGAGGCTGAAGATTGCAGGCTGGGCAGTTTAGCAACTCAGTGATACCCTGTCTCAAAATAAAAAATAAAAAGGGCCTGGAGATGTAGCTCAGTGGGAAGGCCCTGGGTTCAGTCCCCATTTGCCATACACACAAAAGAAGTGGTATTGGATTTCTAAAGTTTGACAATTGTGGTTCTAGCAAGTATGCAGCCTAGGGAGGTGTCCTGATGTGACATCAACACACTTGCACTTTTTACAAGTTTTTCACACTCTGTAAATACTTAATTTACCCATTTAATAGAGCTAAAACGCAGCCTTGTAATTCACTTATTCTCCTGTTATTTAAAAACAGTATTCATAGAACCAGGCAGTTATACAAACCAGTTCAGATGACAACATACAGCTTTGCACCTTGGGGGACACACAATTGGCACCAAGAAAGCTGTGATACACACTGGAACATTTTCTCTTAAGAGTTATTTCATGAATCATCTAATTCATTTGTTCTCTGCTTTTTCTGTAACATTCTCCTTACTATTCATTCTTTCTTTCCATCTGCCTTCTCTTTAGAAGAAAGCATAATAAAACCAATTGAAAAACTATCATGCAATGAAAGTTTCCCCGAAATATTAAAGGACCCACAAGGTAATTTCTGCGTTTGCTGAATGAGCACATTGTTCTTTGACTCTTGTCTAGTTTTCTGCTCAACTTTTGCCCCTGACCCTGTCCTACAGGGCCAAGGTTACCTGCTTCTAGAAGTCAGGTCAGGGCTGGGAGAAAGAAGTGTTCCATGTCCCCATGAGCCTCCTGCTACAGCAGTTGGGCTCCGGATACTGTTTCCCTTTCAAAAAGCTCTACACTTCTCGTCTTAAATTTATGTTGGCAACCTTCAGAAATTAGGCTAATAATTCTGTTGAAAGGAATGAAAAGAGTGTTTTCTAACTCTGTGAGCAGTATTCCTGGGATTTTTTTAAATTCTGAAACTCATTTTTTAAGCAAAAACAATCATTTAAAAGAAAAAGGAGATCGTCTATTTCCCAGGGGATTAATGTCACCGGTTTCCACAATGCCAACCACTGGCTCCAGCCTAAAACTCTGCAGCTCACAGGTGCTTGGGATAATTCGCCAAGATAGCTTAAGAAGACTTGGTTTTCTCTTCATTCTTTTTCCTCGCCTCTCCTTCTGGCAGCATTGGACACACACCTGCTCAGCGCCAGGCTTTTCGTGTCGGCCACATCCCTGCTTTGTCACTCACTAGATTTGGGATTCTGGATGAGTTGTTTACCAGGTTCTCCATCTGTAAGACGGAGGAAATAATATTTGCTTGAATATTGTCATACAATTATGCCCAAGATTCTCCTTATGCAGTAGGCCCTGCTATTAGATGCGGTTGTGACTTTGACCTTCCTTCCCAAAAGTCTTTTTGAAATAAAAGACTGGCTACTGATTCAGACCGAGTAAGAGCTGTAAGAAAAGGGTTCATTTAGGCAGTTGTACTTGTGTAAAATTCAATAGGGTAAGAACTTCAGGGCGAGATCCTTCAGGGTCTGGAAAGTTCATTGCTACTCTCCAATGTTTGTAGCTTCAAGAGCAAACATTTGTTCAGAGCCTGCTGTGGCCAGGCCTGGGGACAGCAGGGGCACAGAGCTTAGTATCCAGACATATGGACAGAGGACCCTTCAGTTTTAGCTGCCTGGGGACCAGTTCTTTGGGCCGCCAGAGCCCCATCACCCTTCTTAGCCATCTGTGTCTCTCCCTGCACAGCGAGGCTGCTTAGCGCATCCTGCTCTGGCTTTGCCCACTGTCCTTGTCCTTGTCCTTGTCCTGCCTCTTGGTGCAGAGCTCCCGGCATCACCCTGGTGGCCTCCCCTGGGCGGTGCCAAGCTCTGACTCTCTCAGCCTCCTGTGCTACTTCTTTTTCCATGCTGCAAGCCTTTGCAGCTCCACCCTGCAAGCCTGCTCTGCCTCCATCCAGCTCTCTCTTCATCTCTCCTCCCCTGTTGCTTCCCTCAATGCGGATGCTCCTTGGGGGTCCATTCCAGGTCTCTGAACTTTGTAGTCCCCAAAGCCCAGACCCCAGAACCCCCAGGCCCTGAACATTCACATCTCCAAACCAGCCTCCTCAGCCTCCCCAATGTGAACAGCCTCAGGACACCAAGTCTTTCCCAAAAACCTGCTTCTCCTCCTACTCTGCTCCTCTGAGTCACCTAAGCCACAAAGTGGGGGTTTTCCATGCCTTTCCTTCCGTAGCACCCCAGCCCCGTCAGCCCACCAGGTTCCTGTGCCTCTATCCCTCTGTTGACCCTCGTCCTCTGTCATCTCACCCCAGTAGGGACCCCTTTCCCCACCTTAGGTTCCCCCCTTCTGGCCACCAGACTGACTGATCGATCGATAATAGTGGTGTGGATGGTAGTGGGGATGCTGAGAGCTGATGTGATTCTACGCCTGGGCTTTGCTTCCTAGTACTTGATCCCTACAACAAGCCTGGGAGAGGAAACCCACTTGTAACAGGTTTGGAAAATGAAGAAAGGCACAAAGAATGCTTCAGGGATCAGGGGTGCCTGGCAGGGAACACCCGGATGTGAAGACCTAGCATAACCATGGAAACTGAGGCAGACCACTATCCTCACAGAAGCTCAGTGTGTATAATGATAATGGGCTCCTGAGAGGGTTGTTCTAGGGGCTGGGTGGGGGCAACTGTGCCGAGCATAGCATAGCCTAGATAGAGCATAGCAGGTGCTCAAAAAATAGTACACAGAATCAGATTAGTCTTCAGAGTTATTCTATGGCACTCACAAATATCTGCCTTCTGACTGAAACTTTATGACCCATCACTAGGAAATCTTGGAAGTTACACTGCTTACAATCAGTCGGGATATATCCCTTCCATTCTCAAAAAACAAGTTGGGTCAGCTGGCCAGATGATCCACTTAGCGCCTCTTGGTGCAACGGCTTCAGGTAAGAACAGCTTCAGATACAGTTTTCGAGATTTCTGAACTGAGGTGTTTTTTTTCCTCTTAAATCAAGATGGTCACTTTTGAGTAAAGACTTTTCAATTAGTCTCACTTCATTAACAGAGTTCTGTTTTTGTCCAAATATCCTCTTTTTCTTCCAAAAATATGGCTTGCAAGTCTAATAATTAAAAGAAGAGCTTCCTGCAGTGAAATGTGACCCTTGGCCAGGCTCCGTGCGATTATGTCATGTTGTCCTCACAGCCGTCCCTCTGTGTCACTCCCTCCTTTACGAATGAGGAAATTGACTGGGATGAGGAAACTGACTCAGTGACTAAGGTCACACAGCCCTGCGGCTGGGTAGAAAGTGGCTGGTGCACTCCCAGAGAGTGTGCTTTGCTCTCCCACAAGATGTGAGAAGGGCATTTTTGGAACTTTCTGCCCGGCACCAGGCCCAGAGTGAAAACCTAGTAAGGATGGGGATGGCCTGGCCGTGGGTTTCTGTGAGTTGATCTGCAGGTCCCCTGCTGTTGCAGATGACAGGACTTCCTTCCCTCCGCTGCCTGGCTCTTGTGATGCAAAGTCTCTGCACCCTCTGAGGGGCGTGTGACAGGCATGTGCCTGACACTGAGGGTGAGGATTCCATACCAAGCCTCCCAGATTTGACTGTGAATGAGCTCTAAATCATTATAGTCTAAAATGTAGGATCTTATGGCAGCACCTAAAATAAACATGAAGCAGATGACTGGAAGTTTGGCAAAGATGGCAAGTTGTCCTTTAATTTACAGGTTGACCTCCACTCTATTCTCACAACCTATGCTAACTGGGATCTTACAGTAAACTACTGATTAGAGTTGCCAGTCTTTAAAGTGTACATGATTGCAGCTAAAAATGTAAAAAACAAAAGTCACTGGACACTATAATTTTTTGTTACCATAGTAAACTGCTTAAATGGCATTTGGTTGCCTTATCAGTACAAAGGATCATTCCACTATTTTTCTGCTGAAACAAAATATACCTGTATAAATAAACATTTTATAAACAGCAGTGGTTTTTAGAAAGCCTTAACTATTTTAAACTAGCCTTACAATGACTCATTCACCATGTCTTAGCAGCAACTTTTAATATAAAAACAGAACATCCTAGTTTGAAAGAGTTTATTAACTGGATACCTGGTCTTAGAAATTGAGTGTCAGTCTTCTAAAGAGGCATTTTTTAACATACTGAAGGCCTTTATATATTAATTATTCCACCAGGTTAGCATGCAAATTCCTGTTTTCATTTTTTTTAAGTGAATGCTTTCTCATAACTTTTCATCTCTTCATTTACTCTGCCTAACAGATTTTCCTACAGGTGGTGATAGGAGGAAAGGTTTAAAAAAAAAAAAGAAGTAACTATTTACCACAAGTCTCAAGGGGTCCACGCAGATTCTTAGGAAAGCATTGTTTACCAAGAGTTGTGTCTTCCATCTACCCGCCTGGGCGACAGTTTCCCACGAGAAAATAAACCCAGGTCGTTACTGTATTTACTCAGCTATTATCTCTCCTCCCAGAGTGTCTTCCTCCTCACCCTAAAGTTTCAAGAAGAAACAGTCCAGCAGACAGTCGTCCCTTCCTGTGCAATCTCCCCTGCAGACTTCCTAGTGGCTTCTCCTACCCTCATTGAAAGTAACAGAACAGTGAGGAGTGATTCTCTCATCCACGGCCACCCACAGACTCGCGAGGCCACCCCTGCACCCTGACACCCTCAGTCTTCCCCTTGGCTCTATTACCGAAGTGCTCCTGTACCCATTTACAAATGTTTCCTGTCTTGCTAAAAGTCAGATCGTGGCTGGCTTTCGATGGCACACGCCTGTAATCCCAGCACTCGGGGAGGCTGAGGCAAGAGGACTGTAAACTCAAGTCCAGCCTGAACAATTTAGTGACTTAGTGAGACCCCGTCTCAAAAATATTTAAAAAGGTGAAGGCTGTGGCTGAGTGCAAAGGCCCTGGGCTCCATCCCCAGTACCGCAGTAAATTGTTACATCATGACATGGATAAAATCTGTCAGTACAGGCCAACTCCTTTCCTTTCACATTTTCTATGAGAAGTTAAAAGCCCGGATGGGACAAATGCAGAGTTTAAAATAAGCAGCACAAGCATCACAGGCCGCCTGCCCTGCTGTGGGAAGTGGCGGGAGGCTCAAGGTGGCTGGGCCTTGAGGTCAGCTAGCCATCGGGCTCCTCACCAAAAGACCTTTTCATTTCTAGAAAGGAAACCCTAAATCTCAACGCCACCGCCTTGCTGCCAAGATGGGCCCCTCCTCCAGGAAGGTGGCCGGACGCCACTTCTTTTAGGACATGCCTTAGGCTGTGTCACGACGGGAAGTGAACTTCTCTTTTTGCTACTTTCCAGGCCCCTCACTTCTTACCCAGAGCCTCTTCCATTAGCTTAAGACCGAGCTCCCTTTTCCCCTCCCGGAATGAGCTGCTCTCGTCTCCTCTGTCCCTCCCTGTCCATGTTTCTCACTCCTCCCGTGGCGCATGTGGCCGGTGCCGCCGTGTGTGCGGTCCTGTCTCGTACCCACTGGTCAGCTAAAGGCTGTTCCGGAGAGCCTGGTGCCATGCTTGGCACTTCTAGAGGCACTGGGCCTGCCTTTTCTTAGGAAGCTTTTTGGTGGACAAAAAGCAACATGGCCAGGTGACCGACCAGACTGCACCACGGGTTGGACCTGGGCAGTCTGTGCGCCCAAGGTGCTGTGAGCCGAAGGTGCTCACCAGGGCCGTGCGCTCATGAAGCTCCCCTGCGCTCTGCTGGGGGAAGCCGCGCCAGGAACATAATACAGCCCGAGTCAGCGTACAGGTGGGTTCGTTTCAGTATGGACACAGTATGCTCCACGAACGACGCCCCTACCCCACTGATAGATGTTTGAGTCCCAAGCGGCGGGAAGGCGCATCCCTGGGAGGGACAGCCAGAGAGGGGGCTCCTCGTCTGAAGGGAGGAAGGGGTGGGGAGAGACAAAAGACATCAGAGCCCTCTGTAAAATGATTTACTTCTTTGTCATTTGAGATGTCGACGCAGCTTTAGCTTATCAGTTATATAACAAAAATTTAAAAGTTTTTGCAAAATTATTTAGCAATAAAATATATGAATAAGGCTTATAATTAAAAGTTTGGCATCCACAAACAGGTTACCATTTAAGGGGGTTGTTTTATCACCCGTAAGTATTCTAATATAAAATGAAGTTTCTTGCCAAGCAGTGCCACACACCTGTAATCCCAGCTGCTGAGAAGCCTGAGGGAAGAGGGTCACAAGTTCTAGGCTAGCCAGGGAAATGTGGCTACACACAGTCTTCAAAAAAATTCTTAATTCTAGAAAGTATACTTTGATTTTCAAAAGGAAATTAGAGCTCCATATGCGTAGCTCCATGAGGCTAGTTTTATAGGATTCATAATTCCAAATACAGTTTCCATAGAGATACTGTGTCTGAATATTGCTTAGCTGTGGTATTATCGTCTGACCCTGTGGATGTCACTCATTGACTTTAAACCAAGTATCTCTCTTGGTCATCTTACAAAGTGCTGCCTATCTTAATGCAAAGCAATGGAAATATCAGCAACAGCAGAATGAAAATTCAGAAAGAATGGCTCACTCAACAGTATGCGGTACACAAGAAACATGTTTAACACACAAAAAAATTCATAGCCTAAAAATCAAAGGCTGAAAAACAATATTCCATGCAATGGGAACCCCAAAACAAGCAAGAGTAACTATCCTATTCTCAAAGAGAATTTCAAGCCAAAGCAGATCAAAAGACACGAAGGACATTACATATTGGTTAACAGAGCTATTCAACAATTATAAACAATACCAATTATAAACATGTACACATCAAACCATGGTGCACCCACCTTTATAAAACAAACTAATAGACATAAAATGATCAGATAAACATCAATACAATTATAGTAGGGGATCTCAACACCCCACTATCACGAACAGACAAAGCAACTAAACAAAAAGAAGCATCAGAGTTGAAACAAACCTTTGAACAAATTAACTTAATAAATATAGACACAGTGCTCCAACAACATACAGAATACATATTCTTTTCAGCTGCACATGGTACTTTCTCCAAAATAGACCACATGCTAGTTAATAAAACATGTCTAAGTAAATGCAAAAGAATCAAAATTTTACCGTAGATATTATCAGATCACAGTGCAATGAAACTAGAAATCAATACCAAAAAAACCCACAGAAACAAAAACATTTGGAAATGAAATAATACACTTGAATAATCAATGGGTCACAGAGAAAATTCAGGAATAAGATAGTTCCTAGAATTAAATGATAATGCCACTACAACATACCAAACCTGTGGGACACAATGAAAGCAGTCCTATGAGGGAAGTTTATAGCTGTGAATGCCCACATAGGAAAAATAGGACAGACACAAGTAAATAACCTAATGATGCACCTCATAGGTCTTAGAGGGGCTGGGGATTTAGCTCAGTGGCACCGCGCCTGCCTTGCAAGTGCAAGATCCTGAGTTTGATCCCTGATACCGAAAAAAAAAAGTCTTAGAAAAACAAAAACAGTCCAAACCCAGAACTTATGTAAGGAAGGAAATTATAAAGATGAGAGCAAAAATAAATAAGATGGAGACTTAAAAAAAGAATCATTAAATCAGAGTGCTGGTTCTTTGAAAGAATAAACAAAACAGACAAACCCTTAGCCAGTCTTGTCAAAACAAAGGAAATAAAAGACACAAATTAATGCAATTAGAAATGAAAAAGGTTTCAGACTGAAAAAGTAAAAAAGAAATGCAAAAGGTAAAAGCACAATGGATGCTGCCAAAATCCAGAAAATTTTTACCAACTACAGTGGCACCTCAGTTCACAAATTTGCCAAAATTGCCAAAATTTTGTTTCTGTTTGCAAATTCTACATCAAGTGACAAATGCGATCGCAGCCATTTTTCGTGCACAAATACAAATGTGGCCATCTTTTCCAAAATTGTGGAACAAATTAAGTTTGTGAACCGAGGTACCACTGTACTTCAAAAACATATATTCCATACAATTGGAAAACTCAGAAGAAATGGAGAGATTCCTATACAGAAATGAATCGCCAAAAGTGAACCAAAAAAGACCTAAAAATCTTTAACACTCCAGTAACATGCAATGAAATTGAAGCAGTAATTAAAAAAAAAATACCACAATAGGCTGAGGCAGGATGGCCAGTTTGAGGCCAGCCTGGGCAATGTAGTTACTAGTGAGACTCGAGTGTCTCAAAACAAAAAATTTAAAAAGGGCAGGATGTAGCTCAGTGTAAGGCGCTAGGTTCAATCCCAGCACCGCAAAAACAAACACATGCAGAAATGATAATAAAAAAAGAACTCAAAGACCACTGAATTAATCTATTTATGATAAATTCAAATTCCCCTCATAAAATGAGAGGATGAATTCGTTTATTTTTGGTAATCAAATAAGTAAAATTCTAATTTCTGATTCTGATTTCTTTCAGAGTACATCTGGAGCACAAAGCCTGGTCGGGGACAGTTTTTGGGGCCCGCGTACAGCCCGACCACAAAACACCTCCCCATGGTGAGGGGCGCCCAGCCGGTGCCCTCGGTGCATGGGAGGACCGACTGGGCAGCCAAGTACGGAGGGCACCGGTAGGGCCAGGCCTGCAGAGGGAGCTGGGCCTCTGGCCCCGGCCCCGGCCGTGGCCATGTCCGTGTCCGTGTCCACCGAGTTCCTGAAGGGACCCGCAGAGGTGGGCAGCTCCGAGCACGGAGCGCCTCCTGTTTTCTTTCTTTCCTCGAAGCAAAAGGCATTTTCACAGCACTGTGGCCCGCAGTGCTGATACATGGGTAGGACTTTACAAAGTATTGAATAAACTATTTGCCAAAGTATCGAGTATCGGATCGACGAGTTAATAGACAGTAGGAACAATAAGAAGAAAGTGAGCGTGGAGAGCGTTTGGTTTCCACTCCTCCCGCCCTGCCCTAGGCTGTTAATGTTTCCTCCTGTGCAGTGACTGGCCGCCGGCTGTCTTCTGTCTGTTTCCATAGCCGCAGAGGCCGCTGTGGGCTGCAGCTCCGCTCCCCGACTCGGCACTGCCAGAGAGACTGTCGCTGACATTCGTTTTTCTACTTTAAAACTATAGCATCAGTGGCAACTCCGGTCTGGAGAAGATCATCTTTCTTGGAAATAAATTTATTTGTAACATAGACAGGAACAAAATGACACCACCACATTTTAGGCGGCTGTGAATCCGCGGTGACTGTCAAACCAGTGGCTGAACGGCTGCCTGCTGAGCAGTCCCGCGGGTAGCGAAGTTCTGGAGCCTGAGTTGGACGCTGGCTCACCGCACTCTGAAAATACTTTGTATCCGCGTTCCCGCCACTCACCAAGTGATAAAGTCCACGTGTGCCAGCTGCACCCCAAAGCAAACCCTGCCGCTGGGGGCTCCGACCTTCACTTCTGCTCCCGGGGCACAGGCCCTGGGCTGCCATAGCAGTGGGTTTTAAAAATTTTTAGTACACCTTGTTTCTTAGTTTGACTCCTACATTAGTATTTAAAATAGAGATTTGGGACAAAGGACTATTCTATCTTTATGGACTGGGCCTTATTTAATACTGTATGGTCTTTTAAAAGAATAGTAATGTTAACTGTGATACTTTTATGCATTTTATGACTTAGAAACAAATGCTAACGTGATCGATATCATCTTATGGCTGTTATCCACAGGCACACCGTAAAATAATTCTACGACATTTCCTGTGCACGGCAGATTCAGCTGTTCAGAGGTCACATGTTGAAAATCTAAAGAGTAATTTATCCTCACAGGTACAGGTTACAAGTATTTGTACAGTTTTAATGTCTCAAAGCTTCTATTTCTTTTGTTTCTGAGGAAAAACTGTGAATATTTAAATAAATATGGCTAACTAATGTGTTTTCTTTACATTTTACAATTTTTTATCCTGAAGCCTGTTGTTTTAACTAGTGGACTTTTTTTGGGGGGGGGGGCTGTTTTGAGTTTACAGAGATATTCATCAAAATGTACAGAGAGAGCTGAGTGTGGTGACACACACCTGTAATCCTAGCACTGGGGAGGCTGAGGCAGGAGGATTGCCACAAATTTAAGGCCAGTCTGGGCTACATAGTGAGACCCTGTCCCAAAAAACCAACAAAAAAAATAGTACCGAGAGTTCTCATACAGCATCCCTCATCCTGATTTTCCCTATTATCAACATCTTGCATTACTAGGGTGCATGTGTTACACTGATGAGCCAATATCGATACAATGTTAGAGTCCATATTTTCCATTATAACCACTCCAGTGCACCATTACAGTGTCATGTAGGGTATTTTCACTGCACTAAAAACCCCTGTACTCTACCAGTTCATCCCTCCCTGCCTTACCCTGAACCTCTGGCAACCACTGATTTATTTATTGTCTCTCATAATTCTTTCCATAATTTCATATGGGTGGAATCATGCGGTATGTAACCTTTTCACGATGGCTTCTTTCACTTAGCAATATGCATTTAACGTTCCTCCATGTCTTTTTGAGCTTGCTAGCTCATTTTTAACACTGAATGGTATTTCGCTATGCAATGTTACCCACCCACCTGCTGAAGGACGTCTTGGTTGCTTCCAAATTGGGGCATTTGAATAAAGCTGCTATGAACACTTACGTGCATGTTTTTGTGTGGGCATCGGTTTTCAGCTTACTTGGGGAAATGCTAAGGAGCACGATTGCTGGATTGTATGGGAGAAGTGTGTTTGGTTTGTGAGAAACTGCACACTGTCCTCCAGGGTGGCTGTACCAGTTTGTCTTCCCATCGGCAGTGAGAGCTCCTGTTGCTCTGCACCCTCACCAGCATTCGGGGCATGGGTGTTTCAGACTGGGGCCATTTTACCAGACATGTGGGGGTCCCCAGATGTTGGCTTTGTTTGCAGTTCTCTAACGACTGGATGCATGGCATCTCTGCATGTGCTCACTGGCCACTTTGTGTCTTCTTTGATTAAGCTTCTGCCCAGCCTTTTTTCCATTTTTAAGGTGGGTGGTTTTTTTTTTCTGTTGATTGAGTTTTAACCACTTGGTACATTTTGGATAACAGCCATTTTTTCAGATATGTCTTTCACCAGTGTTCTAAGGGCTGTGTCTGGTCTTTATTCTCTTGACAGTGTTTTGCAGAGCAGAAGTTTTAATTTGAATGAATTTCAACTTCAGGGGTAGAACTTCTGATGTTCTATCTAAAACATCTTTACCAAACGTAGGTCACCTATTATTTTTTCCTGTCATCATGTAGAATTTTTATAGTTTTATATTTTTCACTTATCTGAATGGATCTGCAATCCATTTTAAGTTGATTTTTGTAAACGGTGTAAGTTCTGTGTCTTCATTTCCATTTTTCAGGTCAACGTCCATTGTTTGGATACCATTTATTTAAAAGGCTATCCTTTCTCCACTGAACTGGCTTGCTCCTCTGTAGAGATCAGCTGACTGTATTTATGTGGGTCAATCTCTGAGCTCTTCATTCTGTTCTCCTGGTCAAGTTAGTCATCTGTTCTCACTCCTACCACACTATCTTGATTATTGTAGCTCATGTCAGTCCTCCAACTTTGTTTCTCTCCATCAGTATTGGACTGGCTATTACAGGTTTTTCACCTCTCCTTATAAACTCCAGAATCAGCTTGTCAAGCTGGGTGTCATGGCGCATGCCTGTAATCCCAGCACTCTGGGAGGCTGAAGCAGGAAGACCATAGGTTTAAGCCCAGCTGGGCAATTTAGCAACTTAGCAAGAGCCTCTCTCAAAAAGTAAAAGGGCTTGGAATGTAGCTCAGTGGTAGAGTGCCCTGGGTTCCATCCTCAGTACTGAAAAAACTCAGTTTGTCAATATCCAGAACATAATTTACTGTGGTACTGATTGGATTTGTGCTGAATCTTGATGAAGTTGGGGAGAACTTCCTATACATGTACACAGAATTTCTCTGCATTGATTTAGGTCTTCTTTGATGGTTTTCATTAGTTTGATAGTTTTCTTTATATAGATCTTTTATATATTTTGTTAGATTTATACCTAAGTGTTGGCTTTTTGGGGTGAGGGAGGTTAGTACTAATGTAAATGGCACTGCATTTGTAATTTCAAATTTCAGTGATTCATTGCTAGAATATAAGAGAACAATTGGTCCTTTCTCTGCACTTTTTTTTTGAGACAGGGTCTCGCTATGCAGTTCAGGGTGGCCCAGAACTCCCCATGTAGCCTGTGCTGGCCTCGAATTTGTGGTGATCCTCTCATCTCAGCCTCCCACGTGCTAGGATTACAGGTGTGTACCACTATGCCCAGCTTCATCTTCTATCTTAATGATTGCTATTATTTATTAGTTACAGCAGTTTCTTGGTTGACTCTTTGATACTTTCTACAGATGGTCAAGTCATCTACAAACAAAAATAATATTATTTGTTCCTTCTTGATCAGCACACATTCATTCATTCACTCATTTATTGCAGTGCTGGGGATTGAACCTAGGCTTTGCATATGCTTGGCAAGTACTCTACCATTGAGCTATAGCCCCATCGCTTTTTAAAAATTTTGTTACATTGCTCAAGTTGGCCTGAAACTTCTTCTGCCTCAGCCTCACAAGCAGCTGGGATTACAGGCATGTGCTGCAGCATCCAGCTTCCCTTTCTTGTCTTGAGGCATTAGCTAGGACTTCCAGTATGATGCTAACCAGGACTGGTGATTTGGCCCTGATATTAGTGAGAAAATACCTAATTTCTCCCCGTTAACTAAGATGTTAGCTGGAGGGCTTTATCCAGTTGAGAATGTGTCCCTGTATTCCCAGTTTTCTGGGAGGTTTTGTTATGAATGGGGGTGGAATTCTGTCAGATCATTTTTCTGCATCTACTGATGTGATGATGTGATTTTTCACACCTGCTGATGTGTTAGATTATATTAACTTTCAAAAGTGGACCAAGCTTTAGGTACTGCCAAAAATCCCACTTGGTCATATAATGTATACACTGTGAAATTTGATTTGCTGGCATTTTGTTGATTTTTCATCCACATTTCTATATACTGAGACAGAGAATATGTGCCTTATGTTAATCGGTGAACTGATGACACCACATAAAGGGTATGTGGGAGCTCATTAAAATTATTGTGGATTTCATTAGATTCAAAAATTTCCAAGATACAATGTTAAAGCACACACATACAAAAATAAATAAGGCAAAGATTTATCATAAGTACTGAAAATACATGACCATGATCAAAGAGGAAGAATTTTCTGAAAATAGATCTAGACACCTAAAATAAATACATAAATACTTGAATGTATAACACAGTAAATGAAGAACAACCAATATACACAGCACATACAACTGGAACCTGTAAGGAAAGGACTCACATCCTTCTCTGACACATGTAACACTCACAAAAAATTCTCAACTGTGAAAATACAAAACCACATTTTAAAAATTATGCAATAAAACCAAAGTATAACAATTACATTTATTCACTTAAAAATTTGATAATAGCTGGGCATGGTGGCACACGTCTTTAAACCCGGCACTCTGGAAGGCTGAGGCAGGAAGATGGAGCCCAGCTTGGGCAACTTAGCAAGACACTGACTCAAAAAACAAGCAAGCAATCAAATAAAGACTTGATTAAACTATTTGGCAAACATTTACATAAGTGCCTGCTACTAAGTATAGTGCATATAGTAGTACCAAAAGGGCCGTTTTTCTGTCCTCACAGAATATATCCTAGAGACAGATATTAAACACACACAAATGAAAACTGTGCTTGCAAATTCTGATGGGTGCTATTAAGAAAGTAAACAAGTTGTTACAAAGACAGTTGAGGAGGAATATAAATGTAGTGAGAGGCCACTACATGGTTTAAAATATTCTTAAAATACAGTATGTCTCTGCCGCCAAGGTACAGAAGGAAATATAGGACTAAAAGCATAAAAATAGGGAGCCCTCCTGGATTTTCTTCCTTCCTCCCTCTGTTGTTTTTCTCTTTCCCCTCCTTCCCTTCCTTCCTCTCTTCCTCCTTTCTTCCATTTTTGGGTGTTACTAGGGATTGAACCCAGGGCCTTCACACTGAGCTACACCTCCAGGCCTTTTGTACTTTGCACACATTTCAGAGAAGCTTAAGTGCTGGTCCCAGCTTGCCCTAGGAGGTCAAACCACCATTGAACCCAGCCAAAGGTCACACCTGGATCTACCCACAGGCAGGCAGCCCTCCACTGTGCAATTCTCAGGAGCAGGTCGCTGGTCCTGCCCATCCCCCGCAACACCTCTCCCTCACCTGGAGTCCAGCCTGCAGCCCCACCCCGCTGCAGACCCAGAGAGCAGCACGGCCCAGCCAGGAAAGATACCCTGCCCTGCCTGACCAGGGCCATCCCAGTACCCAGCTCTACCTCCCAACGCCCAGCAAGAGCAAGGATTTCAAAGTTTCTGATTGTTCTCCTCCATGATTTATCTTTAATTCAGTGCAATCAGAATAGGAATTCCAAGTATAGTTTTTAAATTAAATGTTAATTCCGCATTTATCTGGAAAAGTAACCATCGAGAAAAATCCGGCCAGGCCTGGTGATGCAGGCCTGTAATCCCAGCATTCTGGGAGGCTGAGGCAGGAGGACTGCAAGTCCAAGTCCAGCCTGGGCAACTTAGCAATTTAGGGAGACCCTGTCTCAAAATAAAAAACAAAAATTGGATTGGGATGCAGCTCAGTGCAAAGGGACTGAGTTCAATTCCCAGAATTGGGGGTGGGAGGAGAAAATCTGAAGTGTAACAATGGCAGGCTTGACTTACTAAATATCAACGTATGGTACAAAGTTACACTGAGTAATTAGATAACGTGTTTGGCATACATCATGCGTAGGCACACTATGGTCAATGAGCCAAAGCTGCTCTATTGCTCCTGTGTGCG